GTCTTTGGTCGAAATGGGAATTAGAAATTGTTGAATGGAATTTCTATGAAATATGATTTTTTATAACTATGAACAAATGTTAATTAAGTAAACTTTGATATTATTTATACTACTGTAGGTAAATATTGTTGGTAATTGCTTTATTGGCACGCTTCCGAGATCCTTCATCTATTATCTATAGTATTCGGCTTTGGGTTCAAAGATTGAGAAAAAAATATTTATTATTACTATCATGTAATGCTGAAGTGAAGTTCGATGTGTAGATAGCTTCATTCGAAGATGATGACAATGCATTTTTCTTTTTGCAACTAGCAACTCGTACTTATAAAAATAAGTCCACTCATCAAGCAGTTGTATCACAAAGACATTTCAACTTCAAGACATTATATAAATTTCAGATATTTTTTTACTGGCCGTATACATTCAAAGAGAAATTATAAAGGCGACAAAGGAAGTCAGGGCAAATGGCAACGTGTTCTATCTACATCGTAACGAAATTAACTATCCCTGTAGCCCGGTGGTACTTAGCAATATAAGCGTTATTACGGTAAATTCAATTTTTTACGACACAGACTAGTAAAGGCAAGGACCTAATTTATTTACTTAGCAATGTAGTATTTTTAATTAGTTAGAAAATAACATTGGGGTTTTGTTAGTTTCTAGATCATATTCGGCGTTTAATTAAATGCTATTTATTTGTATAACAACCAAATCATTACCGCTGGTTGCTCATTTAAATATAATAATTTAAAAAAACAACAACTTAGTAGGAAATAAGTAATGTAGTTTAATTATACACGTAAACCTATATAAATATTAAAGATTTATTCAACAATATTATTAGAGAACAAATTATTGTTTTCAGTCACCTGTGACTTGTGAGACATCTAGATACCTATTGCTCAACAATTCTTTCTCCGCTTAATCGGGTTCATTTCACCAATGTAGCGAAAAAACTTACTAGTTAAGTTATTAAAAAATAAAGCTTCTAAACTATTACACAAGTTCCCACTTTGGACACTAAGTGAATTAAAATATTTCATCAAGATAGTAAAACAGCGAGCTACGAAATCTGCTGGGAAATCAGAAGTATGAGCCTAGATTCATTGTGTCGTACCCTGGGTAAACATGTCTCCCAAATTAGTATGCCTACTTAATGAATTTCGTGATATTTAGAAACTCTAGTGGTTACAATCAATTTAAGTGATAACATCGTTTTAATGTTATAATCTTGATATAAAGAGTCCATAATTAATTTAAAACTAGACCATAATCTATAAATACACACACAAAATCCATATTATTGTATATATGTACAAAACAAAACTATGAAAAGTGGTAACTTTAAACTAGCATTGTACACTGAAATTATTGAATAAGATATAAACTCCACAGAAAGTGGAATTACGGCAAGTTGAAAAGATTTCACATCCATTTTCCTCTGGCATCGACAATGTTTCCCCAACTGCGTTGACTTTCAGTTTGTTGAATGAATAACGACTACAACTTCTCTTATTAACTACTATCCATATTCATTCGCTATATCGTATATTATCAAACATAATATATATAAGAAAAACGTTAAGTTAATACGACAATTTCAGGTGTAATTTCAATATAATTCTGTAACTAATTTATAAGACAGTATAAAAACAAATTTAAGTGTATCATATTATTGATGAGTAGGTATTCATAAAAACATTAAATATTTTTCTCGTAGTTTTAGCAGTTTTGGAACATGGAAAAATATAAATATTTTATCATAATAATTGTAATCGCAACGGTTAAATTTCAGGTACATTTACGGGTCATTAAAATAACGTTAGTGTCTAGATAAAACAAATATGTATATAATATGAAACTTTGGTATTTACAAATAAATAAGTCAATAAAGCAAGAAAACAAACATTTTCCTCAATGAAATTATGGTAAGCAATAAAAGAAACAAGCAGCAAGAAAAACATATGTCAATTTAATAGCTAAACAAGAATCTTAATAAAACCACGCTAGGATCGGGATAATGATAGCCAGTCTACAGAGTACGAAATGGACAAAACGGGGTAAGGACAAAGACATTAATCATTAGAACTCTAAAACTTATAACTATAATGTCCAGTTAGTTTATTAGCGTACTGTTTATACTATTAATAGCTATCAATTATACTGGGATTGTCAATTAAATCAGGGAGAAGCGGCTTAATCCGGGTCGGACGCAGGACACAATTATTCATCAGCAGTATAAAGCCGGTTAATCCGACAATATTGACCGGTTTCGTGGCATCGCCGGCTAGGCATACTCTTCATGATAATTTTGATGTTCATCAATTATTAGTAAGCCAAGTACATTTTCAGTAAAAACTGTAATCCTTAAAAAGAAAACTCACTATGCCACCTTTAACGCACCTTGCACGCCCATTTGTATTTAAAATTAAATCGAAAATTGTGATAAATTAAAGTTTGATGCATTATAACTATTTATTACCTTGTAAATCGCTGCTACTGCCCTAATATTAGTTATCAATAACGTTAAATGTAGGCCTAAAGTGCTTCCATACATAAATCTAAATATTTTGAAAAAGACAAGGTCCATGACACAAAGACACCGACATGTCCGTGATGGCTGCATTCACTGACCTATGAGGTCGAGACTTGGCGAAAGCTTCTCTACTTGTGTATAGCCGTCCTAAAGGTCTTGAAACAAAGTAAAAATATTTACCTCGTCTCAGAAGCTGCATAGAAAATCGTCTAATAAAATCATATAACTGGATATTACGCCGAACTTAATCCAAAAACTCCTCAATCGAAAAGTTTATTACAATCCTCAAAATCATTAATATCAGACAACTCTCTCAGTTCACTGGAGTTTCATACTGATAAATAAAAGATTACTTAAAGTCTAGACCAAGGCTTTCTGGCTAATGGCTTTAAAAATATTTCATTTCTGGAATTGTTTCGAGTCAGAAATGCGCCAAGTGACAGTTAAACTGATGTGTTCTGTTGTGGGAAAGGCAAGTGTACATTTATTAAATGTCTTCTTTAAAGTGAATGAGTCGTTTTGTAAACTAGATTATTATTGTCGAGTTACATTTCCACGAACAAAATATGAAGCAAGACGAATAATGATATATAACTTTAATCGTGTAGAAATATTATATTTTCAAGGGATCTGTTATCCTAATATTACATTCCATACGAATGTTACGTCTGTTCCCAATTCCCATGGTAATTTTAATACAATTTAGATTGGCTCTAACATCGGTCCAAACATTTTTTTAGAAGCCATGTAGGCGAACGGGCATTTAGCTCACTGATTATAAGTCACAAAGCCAAAACCAAAACTACAGTGGGTCACCGGTTCAATAAATAATTGGTGCGTTCATTTCTTAGAAATGTCGACTTATTATACGATGAAAAAAGCCTATTTATTTTAATCCTTACGAAATATATTTACTTTGGTATTGGAATTTCTAAACGATAGGATTGATTGAATAATACAGTTAAATACAGCTTTCAACAATTTATTTAATATATGTATGCGTGAATGTTTTAGTGAAGTTGTTTAATTGCATTTATACAAGCAAACATTGAACTAATCGTTGAAACTTGTGCGAATTTATTGTTTATAATGAAGTTTAATTATAATAAGTAACTTTACTGATACCATATATTTGTCGTGGATCGTAGAATTGATTGTTTAATGAAATAGACAATATTACTATACAAAGATCATAGAATGCCTGACCGCCTCATGGTCTTATAATATTAATGAATAATGAAGGTATGGAAAAATCCGCACCACAAAATAGCCCATCGTAACTGATGCAATCATGTTGCATCATCATAACACTATTAACTGTTAGATGCGATATTAAAGAGAGAGCATTCAGATCATTAATAACGGCAGGAAAAGGCTGTCATAGAAATAAAATAAAAATTGAAGAGAGATATATTTATTAAACCTAGAAATACATTTCTTATTATTTCCGAAATAGCCTATCTGCTCACGATAATACACACACAACAAAGATAAATATTAACCAATTCAAAATGTAAAATTCAATGACAAAAATGTGCTAAAAATCATTGGATTTTCGCAACCAAACTTGTCTTTGAATTTTAGCCTGAATTCGCGTCACTCAAGATGTTTTAAATTCGGTCAAAGGCGGTTTAATTACTGAGATTATCTCCATTTTCCAGACGAATGCCGTCAGACAAATCCATTCAACACTAATATCATAGAAGTGATTTTCATACAAAAATATGTATCTTAAATGATCACAGTCAAAACATACTGCCTATATTTAGCTTAAGATGGAAATTTAATGAATTCTGGTGAATCTAACATACTAACATGTAAATGATTTTATTCCTTAGATTAATGGAATTTGTGGAATATCTTATTCCAGTCAATATATTTTAATGTTAGCTTATGTTATACATTTAACACTATTAATACACTCTATGAATTTTGTTATAAACTGTACGAAGGAAATGTATTAGTTAAGTAATATGGTGTATTTTCCATTTAGTTCGTGTGAATACTGTTAGATAAAATGCAAGACAAAAAACGATAAATTTTAACCAAATTTCAGTTTACATAAAAATAAACGTTCGAGGCTTAACATACTAATTAATTTCTATATCAATTATAAATACTTTTATTCTAAATCTATGCTGGTTTAATGAAAGATAAATGAATAGAATCAGCCCCCATATTCTGTAAATGTCATTATCGAACTCACTTCACCCAAGGAATTGGTAGCGAAAGCTTATTCGGCCAATCGCAGGCCTGGGTGAAGCGAGTTTAAAGCGAAATAAATTCTAATTCCATTACAGCATAGTTAGATACAATCACCTACAGTATTATATGATCGATTTTTTTTAATAAATGAGTCTTTAATTAATATACTTTACATAAGTAGACATTTTTTAAAACCAATCAGGTCAATTCATACATTTCAAATAATTACATTAATCATTAAATTCTGAATTCTTTAAGCTTACATAGATGTCGGCGACCAAAAATTCATTTCACGTAGCTCCGAAGGTTTTGCACGGAACGTTTGAGATGATTTAGGGGATTTAGAAGGGTTAGACGTTTCACTGATTATCTTCGGCTCCTTAGTTTTCGGTGAGGGGCCCAGATTTTCAACGGACTCTGCGAGTGTGACATCTATAACAATAATATATATTTTTTTTACAAAAACGCAATAAACAATTCCTTCAATGTAGTTTGTGACACTAAAACAACTAAACTAAAACTAACGTATTGATTGATGTTCTAAACCCTAAACACTAGTTCTTATCAAGTTTTCTAACCTTTTAAAATTCATATTAAACATTAAAGAATTAAGTTATAAGGAAGATCTTATGATTTATTCAGCGTTTGACCTAAGGCATTGTACGTTCAGTGAAAAAATCTTATGGTTGTTTATTAAAATTCGTATAGCTCCAAGACTCTCTTCACTGTGGTCGTAGGTTCGAACCCCGGCTGTGGACCAATGAACTTTGTCTAACACTTGCTCGTACGGTGAAGGAAAACATCGTGAAGAAACTGGCATGCCTTAGACGGTTGATCTCCTATTTGCCTATTAGAAATGATTACGGAACAGATACAGAAATCCAGTCAATCAGTGAGTTTATAATTAAATAATATTATTAATTAATCCATCCCCCTAACCTTGACACAAGGATAAATTTTGGTCCATGGAAACGGCATGGGGCTTGTGGTTAGGTGGTTCATAGTTAAGATAGTAAAACCAGGATATTTTTAAATTCTAGATAAATCGCAGTACATACCCATGGTAACGGAAATTTCTTGATTTAAATAAGATATTGCTTATCTACCAATTGAAATAATCTTTATGATTGTATATACTATATATACATATAAGTGAGTAATACGTATAATGATTATCAATTCTAATGCAACAAGTTCTAATTTTCCACTACTTCAATGTAAAATAATAACTAGCTCATCTGGAGGGTATAAGATAGAAAGTTTTCGTTCTCAAACACGATATCTAATTATTAATTTTCCTAATATTTAGTAAAAGAAAGGGTTAGGTTGTACCGCACGCAAACCCTGCGGTTGGAAAATTGAACCCAGCCTTTTTACCGAAAAGAAATACGTCGTAACTAAATGTAATTTAAGATCATATGCTGCTTGCAAAGGTTAGTTCTATATAGCAAAAAGGTTAATTGTCTAAACATATTAAAAATTAAAAACGTTAACCATAGAAGTAGAAGTTCGATAACTTACTCTGTAATCTATTTTCCACAATATCCTCTTCAGCTAGTGTTGAAGTGGACGTGGTGAGGTCTCTCTTAAAACCCAGAAGTGCCATCGTAAGCCATGACCGACCGTGGACATCCTCCACTGGTTCGTAAGGAGAAGTGAAATATCTGAAATAAATAATATTCTGTTACGTACCTGATGAAATCTGTGGAATTTGGATGGAAAATCTTATATGTTAACCATAGTAACAGGTTTTTAAGACAGTCAAGTCAAGTTAATTAAAACTGTTTGTTTATATGATCGTGAGGTCAAGAAAGTCCGTTTTCACATTTGTTTATGGATAAAATAATATAATATTATGCAAAATACTTCTTACTTTTACTTAACAAGCAATAGGGAAATAATAGTAGTCCGAAATTTACTGCTAAAAATAACAGACCACGAACCTACTTGAATCATAATAACTATGATACCTATATCAGTCATTTTGAAAACAAAAACAATCCGTGAGATAACTGTACCAGTGTTAACTAAATTGGACAAAGATTAAAAAGCTTGCCTAAAAAACCAAAGAAAAAAAAAAAAAGGGGGGGGGGGGGGGGGGGGGGGGGGGGGGGGGGGGGGGGGGGGGGGGGGGGGGGGGGGGGGGGGGGGGGAAGGGGAGGCGGGGGGGGGGGGAGAGAAAAAAAAAAAAAAAAAAAATAAAAAAAAAATTTTTGGGGGGGGTGGGGGGGGGTTTTTTTTTTTTTTTTTTTTTTTTTTTTTTTTTGTGTTTTTTTTTAAAAAAAAAAAAAAAAAAAAAAAAAAAAAAAAAAAAAAGGGGGGGGGGGGCGGGGGGGGGGGGGGGGGGGGGGGGGGGGGGGGGGGGGGGGGGGGGGGGGGGGGGGGGGGGGGGGGGGGGAAAAAAAAAAAAAGGGGGTTTTTGTTTCGCGGTTTTGGGGGGGAAAAAAAACCCCCGGAAAAAACACCCCGGGGGGGGGCCCGAACAAAAAAAAAAAAAGAGGGGGGGGGGGGGGGGGGGGGGGGGGCCCACCCAAAAACACCCGGGGGGGGGGGGGGGGCGGGGGGGGGGGGGAAAAAAAAGTTTTAATTTAACTCAAGCAAATTGAAGATTAAAAGCTTAAAGATGGGTACATCACGAATTGACTGAAGCAAACCGGCAAACGCGCGTCGACTGCTGCGTTACATTACTGAACCGGCACAATAATGAAGGTATTTTAAACCGAATCATTACCTGTGATGAAAAATGGATTCTTTACGATAATCGGAAGCGCTCAGCGCAATGGTTGGATCCTGGCCAGCCAGCCAAATCCTGCCCCAAGCGAAAATTAACCCCAAAAAAGTTACTTGTAAGCGTTTGATGGACTAGTGCCGGTATTGTTCATTGCAGTTTTCTCAAATCTGGCCAGACTATTACGGCTGATGTCTATTGTCAGCAATTGCAAAACATGATGGAAAAGCTAGCGGCTAAACAACCTAGGCTGGTCAATCGCTCCACGCCACTGCTACTTTACGACAACGCTAGACCACACACTGCACAACAGACGGCTACCAAATTAGAAGAGCTTCAATTGGAATGTCTAAGACATCCTCCGTACTCCCCGGACCTTGCTCCAACAGATTACCATTTTTTTCGAAATTTGGACAACTTCTTGCAAGGGAAAAAATTTAACTCTGATGGGGCAGTCCAAATCGCCTTCACAGATTTTATTGATTCCCGTCCGACTGGTTTTTTTAGTAAAGGGATCAATGAACTACCTATGAGATGGCAAAAGTGCATAGAAAACAATGGGTCATACTTTGATTAATTAAATATATTATATTTAAAAATATTCGACTTTTTGTTCCTCCCATACAAAACGCCAATTTCATATGTAAGGACCTAATATATTCATAAAACTAAAAGGGGTAGTTAAAAGTAAAAAGAAAACGCACTTGATACCTAATAGCACACTTGATTCGAATGATAGTAAATGAATACGTACGTTCGCTATCTATATAAATAATGTCATTAAATAGTGTTTATCTATCACAAAGTGTACACCATACATATGGTGTTTTAATATGTATACAAAAATCTTGGCACAAATGTCGATCTTTATACCTCTTCTAGATATCTATTATATATGGATTTGTTTGGATTTTTACCTACCTCAACTGAGATACTAAAACGTACACAAATATTATTTGAACTTTTCAGCCATTTTTTCCACAGAATATTTTGCTTTTAGATTTAGACTTCGTTTATATGGACATCTTTTTTGCATAACCAATCAAACAATAGCTAAATAATTATCCGTAGCACGTCGGTGATAACCGCAGCTAAAGATTGATTTACATATTTTATGACCAACATCTATTTGATCTCGATTCGTTATTAAACACGCAGCGTTTAATTTTCATTATTAAGAGGACTTTGAAATAAAAAACATAAAATACCATGTAGTTTGAAAATCTTCGTTACTGCTTTAATGTTTAAGCTGGATCGGTTTCGTACATACCTGTTATTATACATCTTGCGACGGCTGTTAGGACTGGAAGGTGGAGAGTGCATGGGTGTTGTTGGAAGGCTTTTGCTGCCACGACGGGCCATCAAGTTGTATCCAGATGTATCCTGCCCATCATCAGATGGAGATGCCACAGTGAAGCCGCGCGGCCCACGAGTAGATATCATTTGATTCGCGACCTGAAAGCATGACTCTTCATTTTTGAAACCGCATTACAATTTCCTTTAATGACGCTTTAATATTGACTCATACGCTTTATAATAGGACTTATATATCGTTTCAGTAGTTATGACAATGTTATATACATGTAACACAGCGGCTTATTACTAAAATATACCATTTTTAATTGTGTTCTTCTTGCTATAACAACTATATCGAATAGCGCACTAGTATTAGAAATAGAACAAAGCGCTCGGAAGTACCGTGTGTGCTATAATTGAACAATGTACATTCACAATTGCATTCAGGTCGTCTGACGTATTGCAATGCACCGACGCTGCGCGCGAACCGATTAAACATATTTAGCAGTAGTTTTAAGTTGTTTTAAAACACAATTAGGTTAATTTAACTGATGCAAGAATTAAGTGAGATTTCATTTATCATTTTAAGTTAACATTAAAAGAGCGTTGACACAATTTATTATCATCGAATTTAGTTTTTATTGTTTGATAAAATATAAATACTAAAATGTATACCCTAGATATTTATCTGGAAAGGGAACACATTTTTACACGCGACCTTTCAATGACAATCGGCTAACCTTGGCCATATAGATTGCGTCACAAGCATGGAGTTACATAACAAAGATTATAAATGCATTCCGAGAATCATTTACGGGCATAAATGTTGTTCAAAGTTTTATTGTTACTTCGTAACTTTTAACATGCTTTTTATAAATATTATGTTCAGTCATAGTTCATTATTTTTTTTATATTAAAAATATCTTGTTTGCAACTTACATAAGTATATGTATATAATTTTTTAAATTATGTTTTATACAGAAAATAAATTATGGGTTTCGGTAAACCATTATAAGTTTGATTTGACTGATATAAAGATGTTATTCACTTCGGCCCTATTTCTAATACAAAAATTTGTTAGCCGTTCATGAAATGCTTGCAACACATTGAAGGTAGCGCATACATTAACCGCATATCTCACCTTGAGCACTGAGGTGCCGCAAGCCGCTCCCTCGCCTTTGAAGCCATCGTCTGTACCAGCCGGTTTGGGCTTCAAATTCAATGGGTTAGCTGAAATAGAGAGAACGCTTAAAATAATTTACCATCCCACTACAGCCTTAACAAGAAATATATACAATACATGTAAATTCAAATAACGTGAACGATTTTGTATAGAAACCTTGAGTAGCGATGCGTGGGAATATTTGAAACTAAACGGAAGCTCCAACATACATGGTTCAAATAGTATTCGTGTAGCAAATTCAAATTCTATGAAAATGATGTATTCAATCTCTTAAAATCTGACATTATCTTTTGACGTATACGTATTACGTTATCTCTAAAATACTCCACACCGATTGACATATGTCATACCTTCGTTCCCAAAAAAACAAAGCAAAGGCAAATTAATTCAATAACATACATACGACTCTTTATAAAGTACGCTTGTTGAATTCAAATACTAAAACTGTACTTTCTGAATCAATTTATTAACGTATTAGAAGTCATCGTTGGTTGCCAAAAAAACTTTAATAAATAATTAAACAAATTTGAATGAGACAGACTATGCTTATTGAATAACTGTCTCTCTTACCCGTCAATTAAAATTATTTACAAAGCCTGTTTGCATCGTGTTCTGTGAATCTTATGACCACTTTATGACCGTTTTTACAAACAGGACAAAACTAGAATTCAAAATGTCACGGAAGACTAGCCCACAAACGCTTATTAGTCAGACCGACCGGTTCCAATGTTTCTTTGTTAATATCATTTAAGGGGCAATAATTATTCATAGTTCTCAATATTCTCACAAAATTTTACAGAATAGTTCCGTCTACCATATCTGTAAGTAAACAGAACCGAGATCTAGTTTTCCGGCAATACAAGTTTCGAAAAAATAATTAACATTTATAGCAAAAAAATTACATTCCAAAATTTTGAGTGTATTACAAGTATGTAATCAAACCTCAATATAGATATATCTTCTAAAGCGTTACCAATTGAAATGCATTACTACTTTCGTGTTCCTTGTAAATATACACATTACGTGATATCAGTATTATTGATCATACCAAGCTTATATGACGATTATAGTTTGCTAATATGATTTGTTTTTGTTTACACTTGGCATGCTATTCCATTAAAGTGAATACATAACATCGTGACGTAAGAATTATATATAAGGTACATATTAGAATGTAAACTTTGAATATTTTATATTTTTTGTTTTTCTTAACAAAAAATCTATTTACATTAACCGATAATGCTATCTTCAGTGATATCAAGTTGACCTTAGATACGTAAAAGTACCTGCTGTATTGATAGGTGCTATTCCATGTAAGACATCCTGGCACGGCTTGGTATGTTTAGACCAGTCCTTCTCTTTAATATTGTTGAATGTCACCGAAACGTCCTTTTGCTGTTCCTGAATAATCTTTGGGAGATCTTCGTTAAGCTTCGGCTTGCCAAACAATGCATCTGTTTTTGGATATCGAATGTAGAAAAATGAATCCTCAGGCGCTGGCGGTGAGGTTGAAAATGGCTCGAATTCTCTGAAAACAAAGAAATCGCGTCATCGTCTAGAAAGAAATAGAACGTTTAACTGAATTATTTAATGGTTTTAAAACAAATTATACAATATTAAAATCTTTAGTAAATTTTGTATCATTGCAATTACATATTTTAAGACACAGCCAACCTCATTTAATAAGTTTAGGTTAGTTGTTAATAAGTTGAGTTTTTTTACTGTCATAACAATGATTAGTTGTTCCATTTTCCTAAATTATTAATTATCAAAAGACTAATGCCGGTCATACACACTACGGTCTACCGGACAGGTAATCTGTGCAGGTATGCCTGCGTAGGTCAACCGAACAATGGAGCGTGTATGGGGACGTTCCGGTGTATCGGAGCGGTCTTCAGTTCTCTTTGCAACGGCATCAAATGTGGACGATGACACGCTGGCGTTGCTAGGTCTTGCTTTAATTTTGAAGAAAAATGATAAGAAAAACAAGCGAAGAAAGTGGTGTAAGCATTGGTTATTGAAAAGGAAAACATATAGTCATGTTAATTTATTAAATGAATTGAAATTTGAACCAGAAGATTTTAAAAACTATCTTTGAATGGACGAAAAAACATACCTTAAATTACTTGAAATGGTTACTCCTATAATAAAAAAACAAGACACAGTTATGAGAAATAGTATTTCTGCGCACGAAAGATTATCAGTTACATTGAGATTTCTCGCAACTGGCAGAAGTTATGAGGAACTAAAATTTTCAACAATTATTTCACCTCAGGCACTTGGAAAAATTATAACAAATTATTATTTAACAACCTGCGCAGGCGACCGGAGTATCGATTTTCGATCTTGCGCCGGTCGCCTGCGCAGGTTCAAAAACCTGCACAGGTCTATTCCCACACACATTCCGGTCTACCTGCGCAGGCATACCTGCACAGGTGGACCTCTCCGGTAGACCGTAGTGTGTATAGCAATATATGTATGGAAAACGGTAACATCAATATTAACTAAAGGTCGCTGGTGCTTACAAAAGTAAACGCAAAAAATATTTTTGTTTTGTACAAACCACAATGATATCATAAACACTTGTTACGATTTCATGCATAAACCCCTGAAACCGTTTCGTTCATTACGATGAATCTTAAGGGATGATAATTGTATAAGTTTGAAATTAATTATCTTTAACGCGATCCAGTCACTCAACCAATACACTAAAAAATTTACACATCAAACTGTACATCCTCCATTACATTATTTGATTTTTATTTGAAAAGGAACTAAACCTATATTACTTACAATATTAAGTTGTTATAATTATTAATTTTCGTCATCAAATTTCTTTGTTTCATTGCTATTCAGAATCTGCTTTTTTAAAGTAAATAGCTCTTGAATTGGCGTATGTTGACTGAACACTATTAATGCGCGAGATATCTTTATGTCGACTAGGCATTATAATTTGTAATTATTTGCACTACGTACGATTTTATCGAGATAGCGTTTCAAGTAGCAAAACAAAAATAACGTCTGACGTCACGATGCCTCGCCAATCGTATTGGTTAAGAGGCGCACTCCCTCGACAGAGAAAGTTCGACTGAAGACGTCATTGATTAAGGTCAAAGGCATGATTATTTTTGAAGTATTAGCAGTTTTTAAATATCCAACGAAACATTAAAGAACATCTTGGCACAGGAAAAGATACAAACGTGCAAACGTGCCAAGAAATGAAATGCTAAGAATATTACTCAGATTTAGTGATTTTGTTTACATATAGCTTACATTCGACCTCTTAGATTGTAAGTACATAGTTCTTTTCTAACTACACTTCTGGACACATCTATTGGCCCACCTTGCATTTTCAGTTTCTTATGGTCCTACCGAAAAATTTATATTAGGTCATAAAAGTTTTTATGCAGTTTTGAACCTGGTACATTCATAATTGCATTCAAATTTTTTTTAAATTTCGAACACAGAATTTAAAGAAACAAAACACAATTTGAGCCTCTCATTGATATCAAACAATGAATACTAAGAAAACTTGATTTTATTGTTTATTGGATTTAATTCTTGAAAGTGTGATTTTTCTCTTTGGTTTTGCAACAAAATTACTTATTCTTAAATTAAGATGAGGTTCTATCAATAATTATGGATACTTGCCTTATGCCGCCAAGCTGTGGACTTATCGGCGGAACAGCCAAAAAATTGAGTATCAACTTAATTTATATCTGCGGTGAAACGTTTATCGGAGATACTAGAACTGGCTTTTTTGTCCGGAAGCCAGATTTGGGTCACAACTGAAAGCAGGATCGATTATTACGACCAGCTTGAGAAATCGTCACTTACCTCCATTGAGATACAAAACCAACTTCGCACTTCCATGGAGTAAATGTAGCCTCGAACTTTGGAGAAGATTAAAAGAACGCGATATGGTACCACAAAGCCAGTAATGCCCAAAACTAACGCGAGCCCACCGAATAGCCCTTCATTTCGCGCGCTCACACTTAAATTACTCAGAATTGGAACGGTGTACTCTTTTCTGATGATCTAAAATTGTTAATGGCAATGATGGAAGGAAGAAGGTCTACGACGTGGAGAGGTTTTGCACAATGCTTTTGAAGAGAGGTTTTATGCGGTGGTCATGGACTTCTGGGGCGGTATATGGAGCGGCAAAACTCAACTTGATTTTACGGACCAGCTGCCAACATTAAATGCTAAAAGGTAATTTTGAGGCTTAGAATCAGTGATCCTACCACTATTGGGCCAAATTTCTTTTATGATATAATCAGAGCCATACGCCGGCATCTAGAGAATATTTATGTGAACATGATTATACTAAGAAGCAGATATGAACCCCATTGAACATTGGGATGAGCTAAAAGAGTGTTAGGCTGTCAGCATTGCCAGAGATTTAGGAATTAAACTGTAAAGAGAATGGAATATCCTAATTTATAGCGTTGATAAAATCTATGTAATATGAGATTGTAATGCCCATGAGGAACACGGTATTAAATTAAATTTATTTGATAAAAACTTTTTTATTCAATAATACTTATAGATCACTTATTAGTATTCATGTGTTTATTTAAATAATTTAAAACATAATAAGATGGTAAAATTATAGTTAAACTGATAAAACTTTTTACTCGACCTAATTAAATTTTTAGGTAGGACCAAAAGAAACTGAAAATACAAGTGGGCCAATAGATTTAGAAGTATATAAAGAATTAGTTATGAATTAGTTATTAAATACTTAATTTTACAAGTGTTTAAATGAAATATAGCAGCTATAATTCACAATCTGTAAACATGAAATGATAAGCTAGAGGGGTGACTTTATCAGTGAATGTAATTAATAATATTTACAATTTTGTTTTTTTCAAAGTCTGTTACTAAGCTGTGAAATGATATTTTACTGAGGCTATGACATATAAGTTTGATTTAATAAAGGTATTATATGCATAATTATACATAGTTTCTTTAAGCTTACATAAAAAAGCTTGTCAATCAAACAAAATGAGTATTAAAAAAACATTAAGCTTCTAAAATCATAAAATTGCCTCCAGCATGAAAGGTACATATAACATCATTATAATTAATAGAAAAGTCCTGATTCATAGATCACTGATTGTATTAAAATTGACAACCCGTATCTGAGTCATAAAAAGAAATGTCAAATAAAGATTGATAGTTCTAGGGAATACAAACTGTATCTATTATTTACAGAATAGTATATTCTGCATTTAATCTAAAGAAAACAACAAAGAAAAGTAATTTTAAATTTTATGATTAAGTTAAAATTTTATAATTCAGAGGAGTTAAACATTTTCTCTTAAAATTATTATTATTAAGACAAATCTATATAATTGACCATAATTCTGTAATTGTATTATTATTACATCTGTAATGCAAATATCACGCTGTAAGGTTATTATTTGTTATAAGTGCTTTCTATGGTATAAACAATATGTCAATAATGGGCAATTTTATGCTGTTACTCAGTAGGTCTAAAGGATCACAGGCCACGGACAAAAAAAATGACAACAGGCATGACCCATATTTGCCAAGCATATTTGAATAGTAATTATCATGTGACAAAGCATGCAATGAAATTAAAAGTCTGTAACAAGTACCTTTGTCTAACAAAACAAACATGCTTTGATTTTGAATAGGAATGTTTGTTATACTTTATTGTGAGATAGGAGAATGAGATCTAAGTGAGATTGCTATATAATTATAAAACAATGAAAGCACCAAAACTACTTACTTGGCTGGTTTTGTTTTCATCCACACTGGTAATGTAAAGCCATCATGAATTTCAGGGTCACTTGAAGCCATTTTTTAAAAGAAATATATAATAAACTTAAGAAAATATAGCACTTTACAAAAGCAGTGATCGTCTGATATACTAAACAATATAGCTATGTGTATTTTATCTTGAGCAGAATTGATAAGACAGGTTTAAGTATGACATTAAAGTGATATAATAAGAAATATATATGATAAAATAATACACTAAAAAACTAAAAGAGCACTCAAGAAACCCTTTGAGATGCACTAGATTTTAAACAGAGAGTCGAGGAAGGCATCTGTAACAAAAATACAATGATACTATACACCATGAAAAATATAACAATTTCAAGTAATATGAATGACATTATAAAGACTATGTTTCACTCCTTGGCTTTAGCTTTATAAACATTTTTTTGCTTTCATTTACAAACGGAAAAAATTTTGTTTAAAAAAGATAAGTATGTAGGTATATATATAACCATACATTCTTAGGCTCCATGTTGCTATTTAGAAATTAGATGTAGAGATTGCTCAAGAACTCATCTTGCAGAGCAACCACTACCAGAAACTGTAAATAGATACTGTGTGTAATGTGGTATATACATTCTACTGCTTTTATTATATATATGATTTGATTATCAAAAATAGTTAAGTAAACTGCGACCTTAATGCTTCACGATTGTAATGAAATATGAATAACCAAAGATACGTAATTAACAAAGTCCTTCACATGACAATTGATAGCTTCATTCAATTTAATAGAATATACCTAATAATTATTAGACTTATTATTAATTAAAATAAATTTTACTCACAGTTACACTTGTATCAACACTAAAAATCATTTTAAAACAATTAGAAACTTGCATCGGAATCGATTCGGTACAGTATTTTCTAATAAAAACTATGTGGAGACTGGAGACTATAAATGTGTCATTTAGCTATTTGAAGATTGACAAGATTCCACAGATAATTTAATAGGGTTCGTTCGTATACATTTGTTACAACGATGACAACGTTATTTGATAACTTTCGAAACTTTGTTTTAAAAATTAGAAGTGAGGCCTTCTCGTTAAAACACGGACGAATGTTTTAACGAGTATATTCACCTCTAATTTCTACCGTCCGTGAAAATTAAGGTTTAATTAAAGTGAAGGCGAAGGACGGTGCTGTGGTGCAAGAGAGGAAGAGGATTCTCGACCAGCCTTACCAATGAGTGGTCGACTCGATACCCAGTAGATTCAAAGATCGTGGCTTTTGGCATTACAAAGGGTGGCGGCCTACATGTTGTTCACAGTTTGTTTATTTAATAATTATTGGACGCAATAAGTCTAATAGGCACTCACAACACGAATTCTCATTTTGATTACAAAATTAATTTAAAAAATTATAAAACAAAACAAATAACAGCAAAACGAAAACATTTTGTCAAAAACTATTCACACTAAAATTCTTTGGTTTCATCTATAAGTGCGGTAACTAAGCCGTTATTCGAAGTTATATTATAAGAAAATGGTTATATTATCTGTAGGTAAAAAAGTTGCCCCACTTACTCTATACTATTGTTCACTTCACACTGTCATAATATGTCTTCTGGATAATGGATATATTTATTACAGGGTTAAATTGAAATTGGAATATTGGTTATAGAACAAGGACTTGTTATTATCTGAAAAAGATCTATTATTTGTGTCTAAATACATTTTACACAATAAAACATTATAACAAGTAGATATCTTACTGAATTATCAGGGTAACTGTATTTTAAATATCTATAACGATTCGAATTTTTAATGGTTTGCGTTTTTAGGTACCATAACTAAATTTGTTTTCCTTCGTTATGCTTTTTGTGTAAATAAAAAGAAAATAATTAATTTCAGAGATTCATTACAATGGCTGAAGCCGAGCCGACGGATCTGGACTGGGTGCAACTACGCCGTGACATAGGGGTAATAGATAGAGCCGAAACAACTCAAGAAAAGTTTGCTAGGAAGTTTAAAGAAAACCCCTTTGTTCCAATAGGTAACTATGCTTTTCTTTAATGTCCTTCAATAAATAACAAAACTAATCTTTACAGCATTAAATTTTGCTTCTTTTTTGCATTATAGGTTGTGCAGCAACAGCTGGTGCTTTATCATATGGTCTGTGGTGTTTTAGAACAGGTAGAACTAAAATGTCGCAAACAATGATGCGTGCTAGAATTGTTGCTCAAGGATTTACTATCACAGCATTGGTTGTTGGAGTTGTAATGACTGCTGGAAAAACATTGAAATAATAATGTACTATGTGATAATAGGAAGTTTCTATAATTCTGTGAGAAAGATATTACTTTTTAGTGTAGAATAGGAAAGTTATTTTATTAATTAAAAACTCAAGAACAAAATGTACTTATTTAAAATTTTAATTGTTAGACATTTTTTGAATCAGAAATTTATTCTTTGCACTATAAAAAAAACTTATGCTAAAAAAAAAAGGGGGGAAGGGGGAAAGGGGGGGGGGGGGGGGGGGGGGGGGGGGGGAAAAAAAAAAAAAAAAAAGGAGGGGGGAGGGGAAAAAAAAAAAAAAAAAAAGGGGGGGGGGGGGGGGGGGGGGAGAGGGAGGGGAAGGGGGGGGGGGGGGAAAAAAAAAGAAAGGGGGGGGGGGGGGGGGGGGGGGGGGGGGGGGGGGGGGGAAAAGGGGGGGGGGGGGGGGGGGGGAAGGGGGGGGGGGGGGGGGGGGGGGGGGGGGGGGGGGGGGGGGGGGGGGGGGGGGGGGGGGGGGGGGGGGGGGGGGGGGGGGGGGGGGGGGGGGGGGGAAGGAGGGGGGGGGGGGGGGGGGGGGGGGGGTTTTAAGGGGGGGGGGGAGGGGGGGGGGGGGGGGGGGGGGGTGTAAAAAGGAAAAAAAAAAGGAAGGAAGAGGGGGGGGGGAGGGGGGGGGGATGGGAGGGGGGGGGAAAGGGGAGGAGGGAAAAAAAAAGGGAGGGGGGGGGGGGGAAGAAAAAAAAAAAAAGGGGGGGGGGAAAAGGGGGGGGGGGGGGGGGGGGGGGGGGGGGGGGGGGGGGGGGGGGGGGGGGGGGGGGGGGGGGGGGGGGGGGGGGGGGGGGGGGGGGGGGGGGGGGGGGGGGGGGGGGGGGGGGGGGGGGGGGGGGGGGGGAGGAAAGGAAAGGAGGGGGGGGGGGGGGGGGGGGGGGGGGGGGGGGGGGGGGGGGGGGGGGGAGGGGGGGGGGGGGGGGGGGGGGGGGGGGGGGGGGGGGGGGGGGGGGGGGGGGGGGGGGGGAGAGGGGGGGGTTGGGGGGGGGGGGGGGGGGGGGGAAAGAAGGGAGAAGGGGGGGGGGGGGGGGGGGGGGGGGGGGGGGGGGGGGGGGGGGGTAAGGGGGGGGGGGGGGGGGAGGGGGGGGGGGGGGGGGGGGGGGGGGGGGGGGGTTATAAGAAGCACCACCCACTTTTTATATTAAAACACCTGCTTAGAAACATGTAATATATATATTACTCATTGGCTTATTTTCACTTAATAAGGAAATATACTTTAATATCAGTTCCATAATAAATTGTACAACTTAAGTCTATTTTGACCTAAATAATTAATTCAATCAAAAAGTAAGTCTAGCCATAAATGTTTTGTTAAACTTATTGTCTGAATTGTTTTTAAAAACATTTTATATATAATATAAATGTGGTTGTTATTTACGCAGATTTTGACTCAGTAGTAGCTAGCTTGCGTTCTCACATCCCCTTCTCCATCATTAACTCATCACCACAGCCTCCACCTAGCAATGCAGCTGAGCACCTCCTTATCAATGTTCTTCTCTCCAACTCTAAGCTTCTCCTGGGAGTCTTCTATTCTCCTTCATAATTGGTGGACTACTTTGCTTCCTTTGAAGACACAATTGAGCAATTTTCTCCCCTATTTAAAAACACAAAAAAAAAAAAAAAAAAAAAAAAAAAAAAAAAAAAAAAAAAAGAGGAAAAAAAAAAAAAAAAAAAAAAAAAAAAAAAAAAAAAAAAAAAAAAAAAAAAAAAAAAAAAAAAAAAAATTTTTTTTTATTTAATAAAAAAAAAAAAAAAAAAAAAAAAAAAAAAAAATTATTTTATTTTTTTTTTATTAAAAAAAAAATATTTATTTTTTTAATTTTTTTTGTTAATAGTCATGGGTGACTTTAACACATGCCTGCTAAAAATTATTCTCGCTCCAGATGGCTCCTTGTTTAACTCACTCCTTCGAGGTCCGGGTTATAAAAGACCAGACATTTATGTCAGGAGGTGGCAGATGAAAAATCTACTATGATTGATTTTCAATTATTATTTTTAATATTAAAATCGCGCACATAAATAAATTTTTACTTTTAAAAAAATCGATTTTTTCCATAATCGATTATTTTTTCCCTACTTTCTGGCTCGGATCGCCGTGACCATGCTTTGACGCCGTGACTAATCGAACGAACCACTCATTTTCAACAATCGTTTCGATTTGTTCAAAATATAAAAAGTAAATACACAATTTGAATTTTGGGCTAACAGTCAGTTTGGTCAACGTAGGCGATTTATCGCCATTTAGGGCTACTCAGGACTAGAATTGGCATTGATTGGGGGGTCCATAAATCTTTTAATTTTGCTCCTTCAACTTCGTTCTGATCTAGCCAAACATTACGGTGCGTACAGACTATATAACATAACATGTTATACAACATTGCTATACAACATATTTCAGATAATGTGGACACTGAATGTTATAAAACATGTTATAATAACATGTTATTGATATGTACCACAATGTTATATTGTTATGTTATTGATATGAACCCAGCATCTAGGTTTTTTGTTTTTCTTTTGTTATTTAAAATTACAACAGTCGCTGCCGCAGCCAGCAAAACGTCCTCTCGTGTCGACATTGTGGATAGCACTGGAGAATGGGGATGTGAAAAAATAATCGATTATTAAAATCGATTTTTTTTCGCGATTTTTATATTTAAAATAATCGATTATTGATCGATTATTTTTATAATTGAAAATAAATCATAGTCAATTTTTCCACTGCCACCTCCCGACATTATGTTTGGTCTTTCATAACCCGCCCGATCTCGAACTATTACGGATATTTGATATACATCGATGTTTAGAATGCGATACATTGAATACGATTCTTTGAAGATGTATTGATATACTCGATGCATTGATGTTTTTTTGTAAAACATCGAAAGGATGATAAAACCAGTTAATTTTAGGTACAAAGACTCAAGTTTGAATGGAACACTATAATTTAAAAGTAAAATAAATTTATTCAGCAGCACAAGATAACATACAATTAAAAAGACAACAAAAATACTGCAATTTGCTACTGAAAACGCATAACTAAGCATTTATCAAATTTCACCTAAAATCTATCAAAACGAGATTACGTTTATTTCGATTTTGATTAGTCTTAAACGTTAATTTGTGTTTATAATTTCTATTGTTTATTTTTCAGTAAAAAAAACCATGAAAAATAAGATATTTAGGGTGATTATTTTGAAATTAATTCAAAAATTAGGAAAAAATCGATTATTTTTTAAAGAAAAATCGATTATTTATTATTTATTTACAGCCTTATATCAGAAATACTAAATATATACATTGTAACTGTTATTTTTCTTAATCTACGATAACTGATTCTGTGTGCCTACGGGCAAAGGCCTCCCCCATTGTCCTCCATTTTTCCTTATTGTATACCAATCTCGTCCAGGTCTTAGTATTTCCTGCCATTTCCATGATTTCATCGGCCCACCTTTTAAATTGCCTACCTCTGTTTCTTTTATGGCCTCTTGGTTGCCATATTTATTAATCGATTAATAAAAAATCTATTTTTTATGCAGAATGTCACATCCCTACTGGAGAACGACAAACGACAATGGTTATATAACATTGTTATATTGCATTGTTATTCTAATGTGTACAGTATTGTTTTATGTTATAATGTTGAATAACAAGGTTACATACTGTGGACGTGTTATAAAACACAAGTTATATAACATGTTACATAGTCTGTACGCACCCTTAGAGTCGAGTAAAACATTTACAAGAATAAACAAAGCATGTCCTGGATGGAACCTATCTGTGTGTCGCTGCCACTCAGCTCGTACGCTCTCGGCTCTCGTTCATCGTGGCGCGAAAACAAAGGACGGGGTACACTGTACCGTAAATTCAGATTAAATTGAGCTATTTGGTATAAAACAAATATGGTGGTTTGACAGTCAGTAGATGAAATTATTTTCTTTCGAACGAATTAGTGAATGATCTTATCGTATTACGATTACGCTTAAGATTAAATGTTAAGCACATATACAATCTGGATGAAATGGACCAAAACAGTATTTAACTTCCCGCTAAGAAAAATTGTTTTTTTTTTTAAATTCGTGAAGTTATTGGTTTTACCCCGGTTTGCGAAAATTGAGTTTTCAGCAGATCGCGACGTTTTAAGGCCACAGGTGGGTGTGTGTATGTAAACCTCTTATAACTTTTGAACGGCTCGACCGATTGGATAATATAGGCAGCGATCCAAAGAGTGTCATTGCCATTAAATTTCGTGAAAATTTGAATCGATTCGGTTCGCTAAATTTTGAAAAATCTCAAAAATATAATTTTCAAAAAATGGTTTTTTTTTTTTAATTTTTTCGATTCCAAAAACGTTTAAAAAACCACGCTGAATGCCACCAGTGCCGTCAAAATTGGTGGATTCGTTCGAGAGTTATTGATAACGAAAAATTTCGAAAAAAGAGTTTTTTTGGAATTACTTTGAAATTCTTCGTTCGATCGATTTAAACTTTTATGACGTTATGAGGTTTCTGCGTCGAATGCCACCAACCGCGTAAAAATCGGTTCATTTATTCAAAAGTTATTGCGGTTTGAAAATTCAAAAAATAGTGTTTTATCAAACTTCTATCAGACTTTTGAGCTCGAAGAGCTAGCGAAGAGGAAGCAATTGACTCGACCCCCTTCCCCCTTAAACACCTCACGTAATTTATAGACACCCCCAAATCTGGTCGCCTATTAGGCTACTTCAAGGACATGTTACGAATCGCAAATGAACTAAATCATAGTCACTCTAAGATCTGTATGAGATATTAAAGTAGTAAGTTTCCGGGCGGGGAATAACTAGAATTTTTCTTAGAAATTAGTAATTTCTCAGTATATTTGCAATACATCGTCGTAACGACAGTGGCTCCTAGTGGTCTCATAAGCGACAATTTTTTAAAACAGAGACCCATACATTTTGCATGTTCTCTAAGTGGTCTATAAACACATTAGCACCAGAAAAATGTAAAACAGAGACCCATACCTTTGCATGTTCTCTAAATGGTCTAAACACATTAGCACCAGAAAAATGTAAAACAGAGACCCACACGCTTGTATGTTCTCAAAGTGGTCTAAACACATTAGCACCACAAAAATTTAAAACAGAGAATCATACCTTTGCATGTTCTCTAAGTGGTCTAAACACATTAGCACCAGAAAAATGTAAAACAGATACCATACGTGATACGCTTGCATGTTCTCAATGTGGTCTAAACACATTAGCACCACTAAGTCCAGTCTCGAAGAAAAATGAGCACGCATCCGGCGTCCACTTGCCTTGCCACAACACCAGGAACCAGTTAGTAGCTCTAACTCGTAGTGGTGGCACGGTAGCGCGCGAATAACCTTGTAAGGCCCAAGCATGCCGGAGTCCAGTTCACCCTTTGATTGCACGTACTTAATAACAAAGACCAGATCATCTTTCTGGAATTAACAAGGGGGGGTCTATCGACCCTCATTAACAACAGTGTCCTGATTGATTTGACTATCCTTCAACCGTTCGGCCGTCCTCTGTCGAAGCATCTCTCGTCTACCTTGCTGACTAGAAGATCCCAAATTTAATGCGACATCTCGCACCAAGGTTCGAATCACCGGCGTTGCAGGTTTTTAAAAATTGACGATATGTTCCTTTCCGTTTCCAAAAGGAGGCACTTCGAAAGACAGCTGATCAGGAAAAGGTGGTACAAGTGCGCGTGACTCTAAAGCACGCAAGCGAGACATAATGTTGTGCCAAGAACCGTCTATTGTAATCACGGGTTTGAATTCGATCAACACGATGACAGTAGTAACGGCTGCGGCTACGACTGCGGCAATCGTGACGTTCATCATAGCGGCATATGACTACGGCTGCGGATACGGGTACGGTACCCTGATTTAGGTGGAGAAGTATATCCTCACGATAAACTGTGTGATCTACGGCTTACTGATCGCCTGCTGTGCGAACCCCGGCTGCGTGACCTTGGCCGAGATAAGCGATCCATTTTGCTCTTATCACTGAACACAAAAAGCGGTAACACAAAAGCACAATAACAAAGAACACAAAGAGCACTTTTAAAATGTTAATCACTCATGACTTCGTTCTTTACGGACACAAAGAGAAGGTAAATTTAAACCACAAAAATTACTCAAAACAAAACAAAAGGAAGTGAGCGAAAAGTTTAAATCCCACTTCTGATATTAGTTAACAGAAGCAGATTTAATTTAAAAACAAAAGAATACACACGAAATTGAATTTACAAAAAACAACAATCAAAAGATTAGAAAGTGTAGGTACTTTTACACTCTTAAAATTTACTGAGTCCGTAGTAACACGTCCGTTCCGCACGAAGTCTCGAAATAAAAGTGAGTCATCGCCGGTTTTGCTTCGCCTTACTTAAGTTTCTGGTCCAAGATGACGTCAGTCCGCTAACAATATTATACTGACTAAATTAGGCAAAATGTTTTTGCCTTTCGTTTCGACTTTGTTCTTCAACTTCAACATAACCAGTGCGTGTAACAAGTAATTTCAAAGCCATCATTACTGTGAAAAAAGCTTGGGGAAACATGTCAAATGTGTGAAGCATTATCGCGAAGAATGGGAAAAATACCAGCATTTAAAAGTAATTTTAAGAACGAATGTTTTTTACTGTTTAAGAGGGCCTGTCCTCCAGTCAGGCAAGCAGGAAATCTGTAGGAACTCTTTCGGTGGCGGTGGCGGTTGCGGTTTGATTCCCGCCTCGGAGCAAAATATGTTTGTACGATCTACAGATTCTGGGTGTTCTGGTTTCAGTATAAATAAAGTTAAAATTAAATATTCACTACAATTTTATTTTTATATTTCGGCTCCTTTTTAGGCTACACTATCCTGAAATTCGGCGACATTAGGCTACTTATGCTGTGAAAAATGGCGATATCTGTCCCGGTGTCGTTGGCAACACTACTAACACTCGGAGTCGGTTTCGGTTCTAATAAATAAATTTAAAAAAAAATCGGTTTCGGTTAGACGGCAATCTGCGGCAATCGCTTCTCTTATATGTGTTATGTTTTTCCATACTTTCAATAAAAAGATATGAATGGATTTATTGCTGTACATTGTGGTAATACATATTATGTTGTATTCAAATGCTTTATTCATATTTTAATTTCAAGTATTGATAATTAGTACTAAATTTCTCATAAGAGATATTGCATCTTTCTAGGGGCAGGCTACCACAGTGATACTCTAAGAAAGGATTACCAAAAAACATGTTATGTTGCATGCAAAAAAGCAGCTCAAGCTCTTAATGAAGGAGGAAATGCTGTAGATGCCGTAGAAAAAGCTATAATTGGTATTTAGCTATGATGACAAGATTTTTAAATAGATCTTTATTTTCCTGAATTAAATTTATAGAAATTGTATTCAATTAAATTTAAACATTCTTTAAATTTTCAGAATTAGAAAATAGTGCACTAACAAATGCAGGCTACGGATCCAATTTAAGTTGGGATGGTGTTGTAGAATGTGATGCATCAATAATGAATGGCCAAACACTTCATTTTGGTGCCTGTGGAGCAGTCTCAAATGTATGGAACCCAATATCACTAGCAAAACAACTTTGTATAAAACAATGTGATAATCTTTCACTAGGTAGAGTTCCGCCATGTATTCTCACAGGCAAAGGTGCAAAGACATGGGCAGAAAGAATGGGGTTAGAAATTGTTGATGATAAGAAAATGATATCTCCTAGAGCATTTCGGAATTATAAACATTGCAAGAGAAAGTTAAAAAGATATTCCTTACAAAATGATGTAAGATTTAGTCCTTTAGACACAGTGGGAGCCATATGTGTTGACTCATATGGAGTTGTTGCAGCTGGAGCAAGTTCTGGTGGGGTTTCTTTAAAACATGAAGGGAGGGTCGGGCAAGCTGCTTCTTTTGGAAGTGGAGTTTGGGCAGCTATGAGTAGAGATGGGACAACACCTTCAGTAGCCTCTTGTACATCAGGATGTGGTGAGCATTTAATCCGTACACAATTGGCTAAAAATACTGCTGAGAGCTTGATGGAATCTTCTCCGGTAATAAGTCTAGATAAATGTTTAAAAGAAAAGTTTTTGGAATCACCATTTCTGTGGGATGTACCAGAAAGATTAGGGGGTGCTTTATCTTTAATGTTTAATCCTCAAATTGGAGAAGGTGAATTATTATGGGGCCACACTACAAAAACAATGTGTGTAGGTTACATGTCAACACAGACAGCAAAGCCTAAGGTAAGATTATAAAATTGTGTGACTATCTTATATTATCATCCTATGTGAATTTAATATCAATGTTTTTCTTTTAGTGCATTATGTCGTATTTACCACCAAAAGTGATTGCTGGACACAAAGCTGTTGTATCTGGAGTCCCATTTAATGTTCCTACTCAACCATATCCTCAATTTCAATGGGAAATTAAAACTGAACATAGCATAAATGGATCTCTGTGATATTATAATATACTTTGCGCTGAAACTAGCTTCACTTAGTAATTGTATATACCTAGTTACTGTCATAAATATTTATTTTCCATATAGATTATGATCTCATAAATAGTAATTACTATCAAAATTGTATTTTACAAATAGAATAAAGTTTACAATGGAAGATGTGTACTGCATTCATTTAAGAAATGGGATCTAATAATATTTAAGAACTAAATGTGGTCATGACATCTTTTCTACAAAATAAAAAAACAAAATGATATATGAAGTTTTATTTTGTAAAATGTGCTAATTAGTCAATTAATTCGGTGAGAGAATTGGTAAGTACATACATAATAATTATTAAATTTTTTTAGACAATGTTTAAGATTATTTATGTTGTATACAACACAGCTTATAAATAATGATAATCATTACTTAAAAATAAGCGGCACCATAGAAATAAATTTAATACAACAAGAAAGTATTTGAACAAAATAAGGCATAATTAAATCATGAAAATTTACCTTATTACTGATGTCACAACGATGACTACATTGTCATCGTTGTGACTTAAATTACCAATTTAATTGTATTCTATTGTAAAGTAACAGCAGTACCAACTTCATTGAAAAGTAATAAGAAGTTGATTATGTCATCATTTTGTCAACTAAAGATCATTTTTACAATATATTTTCTTATTGCATAAAAATAAGTGACTGTGTCAAGCAAAGGGTTTGTTAACCCAAAAAGTAATTTATGCTTAATACATATTATGATACTGAAAAACAAAAGAGAGCAACTAACAAAAAAATATTCTAAGTCTCTTTAGAAGTGTTTGTACATATAACTAATACAAAACTTAAACAGAACTTATTACCTAACATGTTACAACAAATTAAAAAAATAATCACATTAGTTTATATTATCATACACTTTGTACTTTGCTATATTGTTTAATTCTGTATAATTGAAAAGTTAATTATAAATGCTTTTTCTATTATTGTTCTAGCTGTTTCAATAGTTATAAAATATAATCAACTTGCAGAGAAGTAATAAATAATATAGTTTCATTACTTGGGAGTTTCATTGATAAACCAAATAGAATGAATGATAAGTAGTGATAGCTACTTATCAATCTTTGTATTATAATAGGCTGGGGGTGAAGAATAAAATTTAACCTAACAAAAAATATATAAAGTTGTAATTGTGTTGCATATTATTTTACTTGATAAACTAGTAAACAAAACATAATCCGTAGTAATTAGTCATTGAGAAAAAATAATTGTACATAAATTAAAACTAAAAATATATTTGTATCACAAGTTAAACTAATAACAATTCGAACATTATTTAAATATGCAACATTAAAGTTGACTTCAAAACGTGAAACAAAATTTGATGTTAAACTAAAATATTATGCCATACTTTTATAACTAGATTAAGCGTGATTTTACAAATATGTCATGTATAGGCAGCGGCACGTAAGTCTAGCGCTGGCCGATACGTGGAGGGGATTGCTGCGCATGTGTACTGTCGCGCGGGGGACGGAATGCGACTGGAGAGTGGAGAGCCAATCGACGCTACGCGCGCCCGCTAGCCCCCCTCAGGTACCTTATTTTTCACTTCTGCGTAATAACGGTCAGCGCTAGAGTTTCGTGCCGCTACTTGTATCTTCTAATATAAAAATATAATATCAATGCTTACTACACTACATTATGTTTATAAATTAAATTCTATTATATTTTCACAGATACTGGGCAAGTGTGATTGTATTATAAAAATTTAACAATCATGCTCCACTTTCATAATTATTAATATACATGGAAATAATTCATAAGATATTGAGCCTCAAAAAAATCTTACCAAACATAATTTTGTATGAAAAAATAAATAAATGCTCATTTAATACTGTAATTCTCTATAATTCAGAAATAATCTCAAGAAAGTAATTTCGGAATCTGCATTCAAATACAAGCAAGGCAATCTTTCAGTCTCGCACCACACTATTAAAATTATACACAACCATACTCATACCATATGGCAGTTTCCTTTGAATTTTCTTGTTTTTCATTTTTACTTATATTCCGCCTGTCCTGATATTTCAAATCATTGTTAACATCGTCTGCCTGAGATTGGTCATTTGATGATTGATGGTCACCAGGCTTGTCATGATTGCTTTGACATGCTCCATCACCAATTACAGTAGATATTCTATTATACACCAAGTATGTTGGATTATCTTTTATTGGTGTGCTTTGAGGTTTTGAGTTAAGATTGACATCTGGATTATCGTCAGCTAAATATACGGTTCGTCGAGTACCTGCGGCGCCAAAAACTGGTGAAGGGGTTGAGACTAGAAAAACAAAAAATATATGAAATCGACAACTTCTTAAGTAAGTTTTAGCAAAAATTAGCAAAGATTCATCACATCAAAGATCACTTGCACTACCCTACTATAGCCAGAATGTATGATATATGTCTATTACTTTGTCCTTGGTATTTTATTCTCCTTGGTATTAGACTTAATAATCAAAACAGACACAGAGGAGTGAGCAGCAACAACTTCAAGAATATTGATCAAGAAAAGTAATGACACACACACAAGTCGCGGTAATGTGATGCCAAGACAAGGATAATAGCGGCAATGACTGTTATTGTTGTACAAATTACCTGCTGGTAATCCTGTATCGCCCTCTAAACCTTGGAAGCTGTTTCGATGTGAAGATGGAATTTTGTGTGGTCTCCGTCGTAACGATGCTCTTATTAAAGCATCATCTCCACCACCACTATGTATTGATGCAGCAGAAAGCCTTCTAACAAAATTACTTTCGTTTCCCAATCTTGTTGGCTCTAAGCTGTGGAATGACGCGGACATATCAACACTTTCTGACTTTCTAGAAAAAGTTTCTTCTAATCTTCTATTAAAACTGGATTCAATGCTATGCCTAGGAGATTCCACACTCTGAGAAGAGGAAGCTTGATCAGGATCAGAAGTTTTGGATATTTTCTCTAATTCTTGTCCTGGATCTGATTCTCCAGATTCTGATCCCGCTAATGTCAATTGTGATTTGGATCGATTAGCGTCTTCTATTCTTTTGTTGTTTCTTGATGGTACCTTGTTAATTAAATCTGTTCCTGCCTTTCGAACTTTTTTCACAAAAGATGCTCCAAAGCCACGTCGTTTTGGGGTACAATTATCAAGTTTTTTGTAATGTTCCATAATTTTTTCCTCTAATTTTTCTTTTTGTCGACATAAAGCATTAACTTTGTCGGCAAACATTTTTTCTTCTTCATGATAATGTTGTTTATCTTTTAAAGAATGTGCCAATAGCTCATGATACTGAGTTAGTAGCTGTGACACATGATCCATTAGGGAGCGTCTGTCAGCATCTAAACTTTTGTTCATTTGAATGAGCATTTCACAATGCTGATTTGTTTTACTAATTTCTAATTCCATACTTGTTATTACCTCTGATTTTGTGTTTAATTCCCCTGACATTTCAGTATGTTTAAGCTTTAATTGTGATACCTCACTACGTAGGTTTCGATATTCTTCCTGCATATGTCGGTATTCATTTTTTAATCTGTCACTAGCTGTAAAGAGATTTCTAAAATCTTCCTTTAATTTCGAATGTTCTGCTCTTAGATTTAAAAGGTTTCTTGATTCTACTTTAAAGTTTTCCTTTTCTAATTCGAAGTCTGTAATTTTTTTCTCATAGACAGCAAGTTTTTCTTTAAGATCTCTATTTTCTATTTTTAAATCTTTAATAGCAACCTTTACAGGTTCTTTTTCACTTAGCAGAATTTCATATTCCATATTTAATTGTTCATGGATAGTTTGAAGAGCGACTTGGTCTCGTAAAAGATTATCTTGTTTATCTTTGAGAACTTCTAGTTGTTTAGAAATCTCATCCTTTTCCGCAGCTAGTTGACTGTTTGCAAGTTGTAATGTCATTTGCTGTGATGTTAAGGAACCATTTTGAGAACTTAACGTAGAGATATTTACTTGGAGTTTGGCATTTTCAGCCTTACTATTTTCTAAAGCTGCTTGCAAAGCTAATATATCTGATGTGAGCTGCTCAAGTTGAGGATTGATAATAGTTTCATCATCTTTCATTTTATGGTTACATTCACAAGGAACTATTTTAGTTAGGCTTGCCTTTGCAGCTATTTCTGATATTAATGATTCATTTTCAGTATTGAAAATAATTTTTTCTAGTAAATCTTCCAAACATAAATCTTGAGATATTATGTCAGACGCATTTACACCCAGCTTTTCCAAATAGTTTCTTATTTTATCAAAATTAACTTTTTCTGATATAAGATCTTTCTGTAGTGTCTGTATTGTTTCTGTGTCAACTTTCTTTTGTGACTTTAATTCTTGTGTCTTTTGTTCTAAGTCTTGCAGTCTACAGCTAATAGTGTGATAATTTTCTAATTGGCGAGTCAGTCTTTCGATTTCCCTATTTTTTAGTTCAATATCAGTTGTGGTAGTATCTAACTTAACGTCTTTTTCTTCTACTGCTTCGCGTAATTTAATTACTTCCCTTTGTAAGTTATGTGTTTCTTTTTCACTATAAGTCAGCTTGGTTTTGAGTTCTTCAGTCTGTATGATAAATCTTGTTACTTTATCTGCTTCTGGTTTGACAATATTAAGTTCTTTAGTTCTAGCATCTACAGTTTTTTCTAACTCATCAGCTCTTCTTTGAATAGAATCACATAACATTTGTATTCTTTGTTTATCTTTAGTTAGTGATTCTAAATGTTTTTCAAATTCTTGTAGTTTATTTTTTTCTGATTCTCTATCAATTGCTTGCCGATCAATAAATGCTTTTTGTTTATCCAATGAATCTTGCAGCTTTCTGTTTTCTTCTAAAGCATTTTTAAAAACATCTTCTAACTCAGCATTTTGCTGTTTTAGCCTGTTACAATTTTCTTGCAACTGCTCACATTTTAAAGCTAGCCTTTTCTTTTCTTTTTCAAGATCTAATATTTTATCACTGCTTTCTAATAATGACTGTTCTCTCAAGTTGTCTATTGTAGAAAGGAGACGCTTATTTTCTAATTCCAATTTCAAAGCTCTTGCTTGAGCATTACTTGAAAATTGCTCAGATAAACTATTTTCTCCTGATTCTAGCGTCTCACCTTCATTATCAGTATCTAAGATACTGTTGTTAGTTTCATTTAGAACAGATCTTGTAATATATTGCAAGTGGTTGTTCTCTTCAATTAATTCTTGTATTTTTTGTTGATCTGCATCTCTCTCCTGAAAATTAGATGTTTTGATTGTAATAATTACTATTGAAGTAAAAAAAAAAATATAAATCTTATTACCAAGGCAATATCATTTGCTTCTCTTTTAAGTTTGATCATTGCTGCTTCCAAAGATAAACATTGTTCTGCTCTTTTACGGGCTCTTTGTAGTTGTTCTTCTAAAGCATCCCTTGTTTCCATCAATGCTTTATTATCTTCTCTTAATTCAGCTACTCGGGTTTTATAATATTCTGCATCAGCTAACCTATCCCTGTATCTTTGAATTTCTTGCTCTAGTCTGAAAAATCAAAATAAACCTTATACTTTTAAGAAGTTATGAATAATGAATAATTATTGGATATTTACTTACCGATCACACCTTTCTGCCTTTTCTCTTAGGGCATCAACTTCATCTCTGTAACCTGCAGCTTTTCTAGCTTCATTAAACCATTCTTGACTGTCTGCTCGCAATTTTCCAAGCACCAGTTTTGTATGTTCAAGTTCTTCTCTACATTCTGATAGGTGTTCAGATTTTTCTTCTCTAAAAAGGAAAAAGGACTTTAGATAATACTAATCTTTAACAAGCTTAAAAATACCCCGACAGAGGAGGTTATAAAGTATTATTTATTATTTTTTCTATGCAAAATGAAAAAATAGACTTACAACTCTGCTCTTTGCTTTCTTAATCTTGCCTTCCAATCAGCTAATTCAACAGCCAGATGTTGACTCTCTCCATTTGATTGGTTAACATTTTGTGAAGATCTGTTTTTGCAGTTTTTATTATCAGTTTCATTATCACATAAGCCCTCATTAAGAACTAAAGATGCCCAATTTTGCATGTAATGATCTCGTTCTTTTGCCAGACGTCTCATATGATTAAACATTGTTGGAGATTGAAACAGATCAATAGCATCTGGAGTCAATACTACTGTTTGCATATCTGTAACCTAAAAGTTTGTAATGATATTAGAATTTCTTAGAAAATACATAATATTAGATTTATATCAAATAATCTTACCTGCTTAATACATTCCACAATATTATGTTGTAGATCTACATCTAGCTCTTTAATCCTTGTTATGAAAATTTCTTTGTTGGGACATTGAACAGCAGCACCCAGTAGCAATAAAATCAAAAGTTTCATATTTTCTAAGCCATCTCTAGACTCTGGTGATTTTCCCAAGCAAATACATTCTGGCACAACCAATAAAGTCATACCTAACTCATCATCATACAAATTCTTCACATTCTTTACTATTGCATCAAAGTTTTTAATTTTTCCTAGTATTAAAGCTTGATCTTCTAATCCTGCTAGCTTTGTGATGTGAAAAGAGGGTTCTGGATCTATTTGTAAGTAAATTTGATGCAGAATATCTCCATTGAAAAGGGAAGCATAGTCCCCAATACTCCCAGGGTTGGCTAGGCATGATTTCAACTAAAATATTTTTTTTTACATAAGTAAAAAATTAAACATTTATGAAAATAATGTTGTATGAAAGAAGAAATATCTTGATCATGTTACTTTTTAACCTAAAACTTTTACTTTAAAATATTAATGCATAGATATTTGTAGTCTTAATCCTTCTGATGCAAAAAAAATATTGGCCACAACTTGATTCAATGATCAGATCAGATCATCAAAAAGTCATGTAACTTTCATTTAAGAACTCTAACATCTAGTTTATACTGTTGTGGGAATTCATAAAATGAGGGCAGGCAAGCTCATTGTGTAAATATTATTGAGACAACTTAGGCAAGCTATACACTTAATGAAGTGAAAAATTCAGTAAATGAGACAAATCTAGTATATTATTATTTTTTGCTGTTCGGTAACAGAATATTATTTAACTACACAAAAACATATGGAGATGGTAAACACAATAATGCCTGATGAATATATCAATAAATCTACACGAAAGTTAAATAGGCAATATGTTACGGAAGCAGTTTAAGTGCTTCAAAATAGTTTGCTACCAAAAATAGAACATCAATAGCTCATCCTTAAAACTAAAATGAATCTATTTCTATTCTGGTTTTGATAGATGTACAATCAATTACTTATTCATATGAAACACAATAATCATTTTATAGTTCATTCACGTCTAGATACACGGATCGCTGAACACTTACCCATGAAACTAATGGTCCACTCAGAAAGTCTTCAATCTCACTACTTGAGGCAGCCATATTCATTAAACGTTAGGATAAAATATGCCTATGGCTTTTAATATTTGGAGCAGTCATTTCATCACAAACGCTCTTAGAACTCAGGATAGAACTACAAAAACTAAACATCTGCAAAATCCTAAAACAAAAGTTACCGTGGTGTTAATTATGTGCAGATACCGTAACCAATCACAGATTAGGAGGACTACATTGTTATTCTTCAATGAAACTGTTATTGTGATGTTTGAAGTCTATTAGACACAGCTTAGAATATAGCCAATACATAATGTACTCTATGGTATAAGGGGGGCTTAGCCAAGATGCCTTAATTTGATTGATGCCTTAGATGTATGTAGAAAGTCGAAAACTAAATTTGTATGAAAATGACAGTTCGTGTCGACTCAACCCTTACGTACGACCACCACGCAAGCAATCAGATTAACATACGTACATTATTCAAAATACGTAGGACATGGATGCTATCAATATCTGACGCGCTCGAGTATGTCCATGGCACAGTTATTTTTTACATTGTTGAAATTCTATAGCCGCTCCCCCCACCGATGAAAAGCATTACTTAACATTTTATTCTTATAATTTTCTAAGTAAATCCCCATTTAGCATCGTGGGCTCATCTACTATGACTAAAACGTTATTTTTTCATTTTGGCTAGATTGGCATTTATACTATCCATCGAACTTCGAACACGCGCCCCCCCCCGCCCCCCCCCCCCCCCCGCGCCCCGCCCGCGCGCGGGCGCCGCGCGCGGGGCGCGCGCGCCCCCCCCCCCCCCCCCCCGGGGCGGGCGCCCGCGCGCGCGCGCCCCCGCCCCCGGGCCGGCCGGCGGGGGGGGGGGGGGGGGGGGGGGGGGGGGGGCGGGGGGCGCGCGCCCGGCCCCGGGGGCCGGGCGGGGGGGGGGGCGCCGGCCCGGGGGGGGTTTTTTTTTTTTTTTTTTTCTTCTTTTTTTTTTTTGTTCGTTTTTTTTTTTTTTTTTTTCCCCCCCCCCCCCCTCCTTTTTTTTTTTTTTTTTTCCCCCCCCCCCCCCCCCCCCCCCCCCCCCCCCCCCCCCCCCCCCCCCCCCCCCCCCCCCCCCCCCCCCCCCCCCCCCCCCCCCCCCCCCCCCCCCCCGCCCCCCCCGCCCGCGCCCCCCCCCCCCCGCCCCCCCCCCCCCCCCCCCGGCCCGCCGCCCCCCCCCCCCCCCCCCCCCCCCCCGGGGGCCCCCCCCCCCGCCCCCCCCCCCCCCCCCCCCCCCCCCCCCCCCCCCCCCCCCCCCCCCCCCCCCCCCCCCCCCCCCCCCCCCCCCCCCCCCCCCCCCCCCCCCCCCCCCCCCCCCCCCCCCCCCCCCCCCCCCCCCCCCCGCCCCCCCCCCCCCCCCCCCCCCCCCCCCCCCCCCCCCCCCCCCGGCGGCGCCCCCCCCCCCCCCCCCCCCCCCCCCCCCCCCCCCCCGCCCCCCCCCCCCCCCCCCCCCCCCCCCCCCCCCCCCCCCCCCCCCCCCCCCCCCCCCCCCCCCCCCCCCCCCCCCCCCCCCCCCCCCCCCCCCCCCCCCCCCCCCCCCCCCCCCCCCCCCCCCCCCCCCCCCCCCCCCCCCCCCCCCCCCCCCCCCCCCCCCCCCCCCCCCCCCCCCCCCCCCCCCCCCCCCCCCCCCCCCCCCGCCCCCGCGGGGGGGGGGGGGGGGGGGGGGGGGGGGGGGGGGGGGGGCGGGGGGGGGGGGGCGGGGCGGGGCCCCCCCCCCCCCCCCCCCGGGCCCCGGCCCCCCCCCCCCCCCCCCCCCCCCGCCCCCCCCCCCCCCCCCCCCCGGCCCCCCCGCCCCGCCGCGCCCCCCCCCCCCCCCCCCCCCCCCCCCCCCCCCCCCCGCCCCCCCCCCCCCCCCCCCCCCCCCCCCCCGCGGGGGGGCCCCCCCCCCCCCCCCCCGGGCCCGGGCCCCCCCCCCCCCCCCCCCCCGGGGGGCCCCCCCCCCCCCCCCCCCCCCGGGGGGGGGCGCCGGCCGCCCCCCCGGGGCGCCGGGCCGGGGGGGGGGGGGGGGGGGGGGGGCGCCCCCGGCCCCCGGGGGGGGGGCCCCCCCCCCCCCCCCCCCCCCCCCCCCCCCCCCCCCCCCCCCCCGCCCCGGCGCGCGGGCCCCCCCCCGGCGCGGCCCCCCCCGCCCCCGCGGGCCCGGCCGGCCCCCCCCCCCCCCCCCCCCGCGCGGCGGGCGGGGGGGGGGGGGGGGGGGGGGGGGGCGGCGCGCGGGGGGGGGGGGGGGGGGGGGGGGCGGGGGGCCCGCGGGGGGGGGGCCCCCCGCGGGGGCCCCCCGGGGGCGGGGGCGGCCCCGGGGGGCGGGGGGGGGGCGGGGGGGGGGGGGGGGCCCGGGGCCGGGCGGGGCCCGGCCCGGGGGGGGGGGGGGGGGCGGGGGGGGGGGGGGCCGGGGGGGGGGGGGGGGGGGGGGGGGGGGGGGGGGGGGGGGGGGGGGGGGGGGGGGGGGGGGCGGGGGCGGGCCCCCGGGCCCCCCGCCCCCCCCCCCCCCCCCCCCCCCCCCCCCCCCCCCCCCCCCCGGCCCCCCCCCCCCCCCCCCCCGGGGGCGCGCCCGGGCGCCCCCCCCCCCCCCCCCCCCCCCCCCCCCCCCCCCCCCCCCCCCCCCCCCCCCCCCCCCCCCCCCCCCCCCCCCCCCCCCCCCCCCCCCCCCCCCCCGGGGCGCCCCCCCCCCCCCCCCCCCCCCCCCCCCGGGGGGCCGGGGGGGGGGGGGGGCCCGGGCCCGCCCCCCGGGGGGGGGGGCGGGGGCGGGGGGGCCCGCCCCCCCCGGGGGGGGGGGGGCCCCCCGCCCCCCCCCTTCCCCCCCCCCCCCCCCCGCCCCCCCCCCGGCCCCGGCCCCCCCCCCCCCCCCCCCCCCCCCCCCCGCGCCCGCCCCCCCCCCCCCCCCCCGCCCCCCCCCCCCCCCCCCCCCCCCCCCCCCCCCCCCCCCCCCCCCCCCCCCCCCCCCCCCCCCCCCCCCCGCGGCGCCGCGGGGCCCCCCCCCCCCCCCCCCCCCCCCCCCCCCCCCCCCCCCCCCCCCCCCCCCCCCCCCCCCCCCCCCCCCCCCCCCCTCCCCTCCCCCCCCTTTCCCCCCCCCCCCCCCGGCGGGCCGGCGCGGCGCCCGGCGGCGGCCCCGCGGGCGCCCGGCCGGCCCGCGGGGGGGCCGGGGGGGGGGGGGGGGGGGGCCCCCCCCCGGGCCGGGGGGGGGGGGGGGGGGGGGGGGGGGGGGGGGGGGGGGGGGGGGGGGGGGGGGGGGGGGGGGGGGGGGGGGGGGGGGGGGGGGGGGGGGGGGCGGCCCGCCGCCGGCCCCCCCCCCTGGGGGCCCCTGGGTTTTTGGGTCTTCTTTTCCCCCCCTGGCGGCGCGGGGCCCCGCGGGCCGCCCGGGCGGGGGGGGCCCCCCCCCCCGGGGGGGCCCCCCGGGGGGCCCCGGCCTCTCCCCTTTCCCCCTTTTTTTTTTTTTTTTTTTTTTTTTTTTTTTTTGGGGGTTGTTTTTTTTTGTTTTTTGGCGGGGGGGGGGGGGGGGGTTTTTTTTGGGGGGGGGGGGGGTTTTTGGGGGGGGGGTTGTGGGGGGGGGGGGGGGTTTTTGGGGGGGGGGGGGTTTTTTTTGGGGGGGGGGGGGGGGGGGGGGGTTTTTTTTTTCCTTTTTTTTTCCCCCCCGGGCCCCCCCCCGTTCCCCCCTTTTCCCCCTCTTCCCCCCTTTCCCCCTTTCCCTTTTTCCCCCCCTTTTTTTTTTTTCCCCGCCCGGGTTTGGGGGGGGGGGGGGGGTTTTTTTTTTTTTTTTTGGTTGGGGGGGGGGGGGGGGGGGGGGGGTTGTTTTTTTGGTTGGGGGGGGGTGGGGGGGGGGGGGGGGGCCGCCGGGCCCCCGGGGGGGGGGGGGGGGGGGGAAAGGGGGGGGGGGGGGGGGCCCCGGGGGGGGGCGCGGGCCGGGGGGCGCCCCCCCCCCCCCCCCCCCCCCCGCCGGGGGGGGGGGGGGGGGGGGGGGGGGGGGGGGGGCGGCCCCCCGGGGCGGTGGGGGGGGGGGGGGGGGGGGGGGGGGGGGGGGGGGGGGGGGTTGGGGCGGTTTGGGGGGGGGGGGGGGGGGGGGGGGGGGGGGGGGGGTTTGGGGGGGGGGGGGGGGGGGGGGGGGGGGGGGGGGGGGGGGGGGGGAAAAAAAAAAAACCCCCCCGCCCCCCGGGCCCCCCGCCCCCCGGGGGGGGGTTTTTGGGGGGGTTTTTTGGGCCCCCCCCCCCGGGGGGGGGCCGGGGCCCCGGGGGGGGGGACCGGGGCCCCGGGGGGGGGGGGGGGAGGGGGGGGGGGGGGGGGGGCGGGGGGGGGGGGGGGGGGGGGGGGCGGGGGGGGGGGGGGGGGGGGGGGGGGGGGGGGGGGGGGGGGGGGGGGGGGGGGGGGGGGGGGGGCCCCCCCCGGCGGAAAAAAAAAAAAAAAAAAAAAAGGGGGGGGGGGGGCCCGGGGGGGGGGCTGGCGAAATTTGGCCCGCGCGCCGCCGCGCGCCACATGAACAGAGACTAATTAGATTTCTGTGAAGCGAGAACTTATGAAGAGGTGGAATCAGGAATGGTCGAAAAACTTTATCCATTCCACGACGAGAGCGAATGATAAAAAAAGAGTATTGATTTTTCTATTTTGATTATTTGATTTGAACGTTATTAATAATATTCAATATTCCGTGACAATATATTTCGCATTGTTAACTGTGAATTATCGATTCTAAAGTACTCGTACATATAGGTTTAACGTTAGTGTTTTTTCAATGGTTTAATATAATTTTATATTACTTACTACTTTTACAAAGTGAGGCTTAAATTGAAATAAAAATGCCTTGTTTTAGAATTAAACATATTTAGTTATTATAGTTTAATCAATACAACTTACAATTTTGAAAAAATTACTTATGGTTATATATATTAATCTATTAGGTATCTATATTTACGAAAGGTAGCGGGTGTTGAGCAATCGTCATTTGAGCAATTTAAGTTGTTTTTATAAACAATAATAATGTTTGTAAACAAACTTTCTAAAGTACAATTTTCCGATCAACAGTTAGATGACTATGTTTTGGAAGTAAGTATATAATATTACTAATTATTTATTTATCCTACAGCCAGCAGCCTAAACTTCCAACTTTTATAAATTTTTAAGTCGGCTTCAAACTCATAGTATATAAAAAAGTAGAATATCTGTTCGACGATATCGTATTTGTAATTTACTTAATATATGATTTTTCCAACATTTCAGAATTCTGTTCTTAAGAGTAAACTACAAAGTAAAAATGATGCACTATCTATTATGAGTAAAGAATTGGATAAATCTTGCATGGAACGAGATAGGTTTAAAACACTAGTTGAACAGTTAAAATGTAGCAAGATTGTGATAAAAGATACTATGCATGTTATAAATAAATATGCACCTACTAATACAATCAGTGGAGGTGAAATTCTAGCCAAAACCAAGGAGCACAATAATCTGTTAAAGTTGGAGGTATTGTAATTATTTATACAGGTTTAAAGTATTCACTCAAGCTTTTTAGGTTAAAGGCAATCTAGTACATATTTGTCAATTAATTTGTTATTATATATGTATGATGAGCAAAAATATGTTTTTGCTACATATATACATACTTTTTTTTACAAATTTACTATAATTGTTTGGTCTATTTTTTCTTAAGTTATAGAAATTTTTTATAGGTAACATGTCTATGTTGTCAGGTGGAAACATTAAGAAGCAAACTTGATGATGCTAATGGTGATATATTAGCATTGAGGAAACAGCTGCAAAAAAACAGGACTTTGGACAACATCGGTGAATGCAAATCTGCATCTCCAGTAGAAAGTATATACTCTCTATTGGAATATGAACAACTAGTACAAGAACTTGAGAAAGTACAAAAAAAGGTAATAAAAATTAACATAGGAATTTTTTTTTACATTTTTCATTGTTGGTTTTCCTGTAATATATACATACTTACGCATATAGTAGTTGATAAATATTTTTCTATCTTACAGTGTAAACAAATGCAAATGGATTATAGAGCTACCCTAGACGAAAAAGACGAGTTAGTTTCTGACCGTGACTATTATAAAAACAAAGTACAACGATTAAACCATCAAATAAGTTTTCTGTTAACAAACAGAATGAAGCAATCTTTAGACAGCAATATAGCAAAACCTGTGGTTGATATTGATGCACTTGTTATGGAAAATAAATATCTCCATGAAAGTATTACACAGTTACAAGTAGAGAAAGAAATAATGAAACGAACACTGAATAAGTATAAGGTTAATATTTAAATTGTTATACTTTTAATCAAATGTTTTAACAAAATAAAACTTAATTACATTGATTTTATTTTCAGACCTTGCTTGATAGTAGAAGCAAAAATGATACTATTAATTTTCGAAAAGGATTTGCAGATGTCATGACTCAACAACAAGGTAGTAAAAAAAATATTATTCTAGGGGCTGATAAACCTATATGGGCCTAATACACAATAGGTATACAAAACTGGATATGTAAATGTTATTTATATTTCTGTATACCAAATAATGAAAATAGCTGTGTAGATTATCTTCAGTTAAGTACCTTTGGTCTAGACTTATGCTTCAAAAAAATTACATTTGATTCCACCAATTTTTATTGTCTGAATTATATTTGCATAATCAGTTGGCTAGTATGGGTCACAACTCAAATAGTTTTGCCTTTTGCTCCATTGCTTAATAAATGTTTTAACATTTCTACATGACATCAAATTCAAATTCATAAAATAAAATTCAAAAATATTTATCAGTAGGTAACACAATGTAACTTTGTCATAAAGAAAAAAATCATGTCTAATTAAACGAGCTCAAATCAAGGGCGTAGAACGGAAGAAAAATGGCAATAAACTCTCCGCCACTCTTTTTAATCGCCATTTTTTTTTTTTTTACAACGTTTGTAAGGAGCTGCAACATTACACCATGTTCCAATGACATTTTAAGTAATTAATATGTAATAACATAAATAAAAACAAAGACTTGTCCCCTATCAGCAGGAGGCATGTGAAATAGGAGCACGCACTTACATTCTCGTGGGAACAACACGCAAACAATAGTCGAGAAATTAAATACCAAACGAATTCAAGTAGACCAGTCACCACAAGTAGACCTGTTAGAGTATGACATGGCCAGTCGGCCCGCCATATTTTAGGAGAGAAAACCGACATGGACCCGAATCACTTTGGAACACATAAAATATAAAGAATTATTTTCTTAAACTATAAATGTGAATTACGTATTTTCAGTTCGAGAATATTTAAACTCTAATACAAAAAGTGGACTAAAAAAATCCTCACTAACGGAACTGAAATCTCTTTGTTTGGGATTGTTTGAAGCATTAAATGATAAATCCATAGCACTGCAACATCAACGAAAGACAAACCAGTAAGGAATATGATTTTTTTGTAAATATTTGAATTAATGTAACTTTATTGTATTTGTATATTCTGTACCTGGGCTGTGCAATGATGCAGGAAGTGTGGTACTTGCTGGCCAAACTAAATCCTCTCTGCTCCATCTAGATTCTGTGATGGTATTTTCAGATAATAGCACGGTCCGCATGGTTGGCTGTGGGTTCCTCAAACACTATGTCAACCAGTACCGTAATGACTCCCAGATCTTAGTTTGTTTTGTCACAGGGCTATCTGTTGCTGATACCTACATAACTCGTATATATATGCTACCTTCACGCAGTGCGCCTCCTGAATACCGCCATTGGTACAATAGATACTCTGCTAGATTTACCAAGATTCGGCATGACACTGTCTAAAGCTGTGGAACTAACTATGCACACTTTGTTACCTTAGTGCTAGTCTAGGCCAGTCCCACAAAACGAGCTCTAAGAGTAAAATTCAGAGACGAGACTTCGCACTAAGTGTGACTATCCAATACATTCATATATTGATACTGTCTCGACTCTGAACCTTGCCCTAAAGTTCTAACGGGGGATAGAACTAGTTACTTCCTGCATTTAGGAAAATAAATACAGAAATGATATATCATACTAAAGCCAATGTTTTGTATACTGTTTCAGGGTTTTAGCCAATAGAATATCTGAACTAGAAAAAACCATGGAGAGTTGGTGTAACGGACAAAAGTGTGTACCAATATTCCCCTCACAGATGCTAATGGAAGAATTTTTAAATGACTCAAGGTCCATAAAATCTGAAGATAGAGAAAAAGTTGAGCGGGAACCATCTGATAATTATTTAGATAGTGAAGAGGGGAACATAAATGGTGAAAGTTTTACCAGCGATAGATGTATATCAAAAATTGTCCTGCCAGAAGATCTTCAAGAGTTAGTGAAGGAAGCTCTTGCTGAATTAAAAGCATAATTTTTCTGGTTATAAAAAAATTTTAAATTCAGTTGCTCAGTTAGATTTTCATATGAACTTGCAATATTTATAATTGCAGCAAAGATAATGTATTTTTTTTGCTATATAATAAAGTAATAAGCAAGTTCACACATTCACAAGGAGCGGAGACAACATAGGTTATGTTTTTAGATACACATTCCATATCTTCAGCTTTAATTCATACTAAAGAGTTATCCATGTTAAGTTTACTGTTACCAAATGTTTATCTAGTCATGTTTCAAAGAATTTATTTTAGTAAAATTAATTTTGATATATTTTTTAAATATTTAGTTATTATTTAGAGGTAAATTAAAATAATGTGCATACTTCAGTCTTTTATTTATAACAAAAATATATGTTGGAAAGTACATTTATTAATATATTATTTTGTCTTAATTTATACATCGAACACTAATTGATATACTTATTATTTATAAATTATTATAAATACATAGGTTTACAAAAACGAATCCATTTATTTCATACATATTGGTATGCATGCAGATAAGTAATCTTAGATTATATATATTATGAGTTTAAATGCATAAAAAATATGTTAATACAATTCTGTTTTAATTTTGGTATTTACAAATACTTAAGTTCTTAAAACTGCTACAAATCTGATTTCTGAAAGAAAAAAATATATTTAGCTTACCCCATAAAACAGGTATTACTATTACTGAGCGGGTGGGAAAAATGATTTTAGTGATATGTTTTTAGTTCTTTAACAAAATGGAAATAGAGCGCAGCAGTGAGAGCAGTGTTGGCCTAGTGGCTTCAACGTGCGACTCTCATCCCTGAGTTTCGATCCTCGGCTGTGCACCAATGGACTCATTATGTGCGCATTAAACATTCGCATGCATTAGACCAAACGACCCAACAACGGCGTGTGTCAAGCATAGGAGGCTGATCACCTACTTGCCAATTAGAAAAAAAATACACAGATTCAGAAATCTGAGGCTCAGACCTAGAGGTTGTAGCGCCCTCATATATTTTATTTTAACAAAATGGAAAAAGGGAAGACCACCTATCAAACCGACTACTTTCGCTGTAAAATTAACCCATATAATATATACGTATTCAGCGTCTATACGGAAATTAGCTCAAAGAAATAATAAAATATACACAAAGCCCTATAATTCAATGTAACTGAATTTAAAATTTAGTACTGTGTTCGAAATAATGTTTATTTAAACAAAATACGTAAACCTACACAGGAAATAATTCACTACGAAAACAGTAATACTTTTTAACACGATAAGGACGCGAATTCATTAATGAGGACTAAGACATGAATATTTACTAAAATATAGCAAATTTTTGTATATTAATCGTACGAGTTCATACGTTACGAGAACTGTCGTGGGATTTAAGGTCACAGCAGTGCTAAATTATCATTTTTGTTATTGGCAACATTAACGCCATTATAGTACGACAGTACTTGATATGAAAAAAATAAAAGTATAATTTGGTGAAATGAAATGAAGGGTAGCAAATAAGATTTATATTAGTTCGCATACACGCCAATCTTTTCACACAAAGTAATCTAAACTAGACTAATCTATATATATAGCAATCAGATAATACTTACATAATGTTGGCACTGCCAGCGTTGTATAATGCGATACTAGCGCCGCTGAGTGATGCCCGAGGGCAGCCGCATCGCTTCTTTGCCGCGCAAACGCCGTTGCGCCCTTGACCAACTTCGAAAGGAGGGAGCGGTAACTTTTTTCCGAATATCGCTCATACGACTCCAAACCTTCTTGCAATTTTAGTATTAGGCTATCGTAATTTTTCCGCACGACTTCGAGTATCTAAAAAAATAAAATTGACTAGCCTCGGAACAAATAGACTTATTGATCCTACAGTGGGCTTAATCTTCAGCTGTACCAGTGGTTTTTCCGCGCCTGACACTAAGGCATCATTATTCTAGTCAAAAGATGTATTAATAAGCAGATTTAAAAAAACAGATTTCTCAAAACATGCGACTTCTTATCACAAATCTTGTAGACTTATTAGGAAAGGTATTATAAATTACTTACACAATGTTTTGTAATAACAATATGCGAAGTGACATAACAAAAAATATATTTAATTGATTTAGGGGTTACATTTCCGTATATGGCAAATTACCTGATCTTCAGACGGCGTGGAAAGAGATTGCGAGGCCAGCCACGCGTCTATCTTTGGCGCGAAATGTTGGGTGATGGCTCGTACGTTTACCAAACAATTGGCGAGTCGAAGAGCTTCAGCTTTGAACTCTCCATCACCCGTTGAGTAGCGCAAAGCTAAAAGTATTTATTACTTTGTTCGTTAATTCTGATTTTATAATAATTATTTTATAATAAATACATTATTATGTTATATTAGAACATAGAAATTGCTTCAGATATCTATACGAGAATGTGTTTAAGGGTTGATCTCAAGTATTATGTAATTGCAATTTCCAACATTAACAAAACATACAGATCCAACTGATAACCTCCTTTTTTGAAGTCGGTTAAAAACTAGCCTCAATCGGCTCTTAGCACAAGCACGGTTGCCAAATTTCTTAAGTTTCTGTTTGTAATCGGCTAAGGATTAACAAGAACAAAAAAAACTGTATCTAAAAACAAATGACTGACTTTAAAATTTACATAGCTTTCGAATATTTAAAAAAAATGGAATTAAGAGCAATCCACAGATAATTAAATCAGTAATTGCTCCAATTACATAAGTAAAGACCTAATATTATATATTATTCGAAAATCAAGTCATATCGAGATTATTTAAATTTAATTCCTGTATACAAACATTATTTACTTTCAATATTAAATTAGATATAATGTATGTACTAAAATATTCAGACTCACCCATATAGAAAAGGTTGTCAAAAACCTGATTCATTCTAATAAGTTCATAATACAATTGATCGTAAGAAGCCGGCGTCGGTAGAAACGTATCCCCAAACGTGATAAACAGGTTGAAAATGTTCACTACCTACGAGAAATTTAATACAATTTAATTATAATTATAACGACTCTCAGTACTGTTGTGTTATATAAACTCACCTGTTGGGCCATCAAGAATATATTGTGTCTTCTCAACAGTGTAGTTTCATTGGTAACTAAAAACTTTAATAAAGCGATTAGTGCGGCCCATAAAGGGCGCCAGTCCCTCGTAAGACGCACCCGACACCGCTTTTGGTAACTTAGTACTCTTTGCAAAACTCCAACGCAAACTTCATATAATTCCCCAGGAAACTTTTTTAATAAGTGACACATCATGAATTCCACCAGCAAATCTAAAAAAATACATATTTATAAGACCTGCGACATGCCTTTATCTAATCTTTGCTAACTAATATAGATTGATTTTTGTTTGGTTAAACATGCTAATTAATCTCAAGAACTAATTCAAATCAAAAATTGTTTTGTGTTGGAAATCAACGAAGGCTGTTACCAAATAAACTGGGCACATTAACGGCCGCTTTCTATACTCGATCTATAATCTAAAATACCTCCAATCCAGATTTTTGCAAATTTAGATAAATAAATGTCAAAATTTGATCTATTGAATTCAAAGATATTTACAAAAAGATTCATCGATTGATTATTGAAAAGTAATTTATGAGAAATTAATTGAAACATCAATCTCTAGTAGTAAAAATTGTATTGGGATTGAGTATAGAAAGCGGCCGCTAGTCTATTAATTACATTTACTTTTACAACCGAAACAAATTAACTTAAATAAAAGATATAAAAATGAACTTAAAACATTACTTGATGGCAAGTTGTTTATTCAAATAAATTATTGACATAACTCGTTTTCTTCTATAACCACGACTGCGACACGATAAAAATATAATTACATACTCTACCGAAGAAGTTTTATTTTAAAAACTTATAATAATGTAAAAGTCATAAATAATAGTTTTATATTGTACTAGTAACTTTATTTTATACTATGAATTAATACTTTATATGCTTTCACAATACAACTAGTGTATTTCAACTATATTTTTAATAATAAACTTACCAATTAAAGTCGACGCAAGGGGTTGTGAAGGAGGCTCTTCGGGAACTATCTTGCGATGACGCATAGGAAGTCTATAAAGTTGAACCTGAAAGCATGAGACAATAAAACATACAAGCGAAAATAGTGGTATTGTAAACCTCCTATTAAATAACGTCTTCAAACTGGCATATTTTAAATTGATAAGTAAAAAACTATAAAATCAATTCAAGTTCTGCAGTGCACTTTGCCCTTAGATTACACTGTTTTATGTTTTATACTGTGCAAAGCATGGTAAAGAAATACCATAACCAGATATAGTTTATTTTACGTAAAGATTCCTATTTGATACTCATAGGTTATTAAGGCGTAAACTACAGGATATATTTAAAAAAAACATACATCATATATGTAAAAGTTTGTATATAATTTAATATTTAAAAAAAAACACACGCCGGGCGGTTTTGGTGGTAGAGGGAAAGCGGGCCGGGTTCCTAAGATGTTTTCCTTCACCGTGGATGTTGAATGAAAGACAGAAAAAAAACCATTTGTGGGCGGCGGGTGTGGACCCTTGGCATTAAGGCCCCAACCCTTTTCCCCAACACCGCTATACAGAATGTATATGATTTGATTATTGTGTTGTTAGGGCCGGAAAAGAACGAATATTGCCGACATTTTTTTAAATATTTTAAGGGATTATTATAAGACATGGACCAAAGATACAAGTACGATCCTAAGATATAAATATGAATAAGACAATTTTTTTTACAAGGAAAACACCTCATAACCACGGTAATACACCATGCATTATCTAGTCAACGTTTTGTGAGGTGGGAAATTGAAATTCGTTGGAAGTTCAGTCTAATAAGCTTCGAGGCGTTTCAAATGCTACTTATAAGCGTTATATAACGCTACTGATGACAGCCCGAACTGGTTTTATCCGGTTTTGCTCACTGCAAAACAGTTCTCAAATTCTAGCACAGTGGTAGGCATTGTGACCCACAATATTATATACTCCAACCTGATTAGGCCGTAAAATATTTTGTAGTTTTTTTTGCATAATAATACAAAAAAATCTTACTTTAAATGTAAGGTTTTGGTCGTGCATGATGGAGTTAGCGAACTGTTCCTCCACTATACAAGTGAGTGTGATGAAACATAGACTGCACTTGTTTATGCTAGCTTCCGTTCGCGTGTCCGCCATCACTATTGAACTATAAACAAAAAAAAAAAGGGGGGGAAACGACACGGGGGGGGGGCGCGGGGGGGGCGCCGGGGGGGGGGGGGGGCCGGGGGGGGGGGGGGGGGGGGGGAGGGGGGGAAGAGGACCCGGGGGGGGGGGGGGGGGGGGGGGGGGGGGGGGCCGGGGGGGGGGGACGCGCCCCCCGCGGGGGGGCCGCGGGGCGCAGGGGGGAAGAAAAAAAAAAAAAAAAGGGGGGAGAAAGGGGGAGGGGGGGGGGGGGGGGGGGAAAAAAATAACGGGGATAATGGGGGGGGGGGGGGAGGATTTAATATTGGGGGGGGGGGCCGGGGGCACCGGGGTCTCCTAAAAACCCGCCATTTCCACAGGCGTACAATTGGGGGGGGAAAAAATAATAAAAAGGGGTTTTTTTTTTGGGGGATTGTTTTTTAAAAAAAGGGGGTTTTTGGGGGCCCGGGGGGGGGGGGGCCAAAGAAGGGGAAAAAAAAAAAAAAAAAAAAAAAGGCCCCCCCCCCCCCCGGGGGGGGGGCGGGAAAAAAAGGGGGAAAAGGGGGCCCCCGGGGGGGGGGGGGGGGGGGCCCCGGGGCCCCCCACGCCCCCGGCCGGGGGGGGGGGGGGAAAGGGGGGGGCGGGGGGGGGGGGGGGGGGCCAACGCCCCCCCGGGGGGGGGGGGGGTAAACGGGCGGAAGAATGTGCAAAAAAATTGGTGTAGGCAATGGGGAAAAAAAAAAAAAAAAAAAAAAAAAAAAAAAAAAAAAAAAAAAAAAAAAAAAAAAAAAAAAAAGGGGGGGGGGGGGGGGGGGGGGGGGGGGGGGGGGGGGGGGGGGGGGGGGGGGGGGGGGGGGGGGGGGGGGGGGGGAAAGGGGGGAGGGGGGAAAAGGGGGGGGGGGGGGGGGGGGGGGGGGGGGGGGGGGGGGGGGGCCCGGGGGGGGGGGGGGGGGGGGGGGGGGGGGGGGGGGGGGGGGGGGGGGGGGGGGAGGAAGGGGGGGGGGGGGGGGGGGGGGGGGGGGGGGTTTTTTGTTTTTTTTTTTTTGGGGGGGGGGGGGGGGGGGGGGGGGGGGGTTTTTTTGGGGGGGGGGGGGGGGGGGGTTGGGGGTTTTTTTTTTTTGGGGTTTTTTTTAGGGGGTTTTTTTGGGGGGGGGGGGGGGGGGGGGGGGGGGGGGGTTTTTTTGGGGGGGGGGGGGAAAATTATTTTTTTTTGGGGGGGGGGGGGGGGGGGGGGGGGGGGGGAAAAAAAAAAAAAAAAAAAGGGGGGGGGGGGGGGGGGGGGGGGGGGGGGGGGGGGGGGGGAAAAAGGGGGAGGGGGGGGGGGGGGGGGGGGGGGGGGGGGGGGGGGGGAGGGGAAAGGGGGGGGGGGGGGGGGGGGGGTTGGGGGGGGGGGGGGGGGGGGGGGGGGGGGGGGGGGTTGGGGGGGGGGGGGGGGGGGGGGGAAAGAACTTTTTAAATTTATTATAAAAATTTCCATAGAAAAAAGGTTTGCTTTATTCATTTAAAAACCGGGCCATAACGAATTTAATTTTTTTAATAAAAAAGTACCACAAGTTAATAATAATTCTTGATAATATTCTTATCGTTAAATACTTACCAATACTGAAAGAATGTAACAAGTAGGTTTGTTGGTTGCTCATTATCGATTAGTGCTTGAATCTGTGCCAAGTTAGGTGGAGTCTGTAAAGAAATTTTTATGGTATAGTGCTTTTCGGATGAAAGAAGTCCCGCGGTGATTTTTGGAACTAAATTTGACAGGTCGGCAAAGTTGTCATTAGTCGATGTTATCAAGTTCGTTTGTTGTGGTAGATTTTTGTGAATTTTTAACTAGCTTAGTGCATTTTGAAGATTGATTACAATGCCAAAAGTTGTAAAAAGTTCGGCTCGAGGAATTTATATTATAGGTGAAAGAGTTCTGTGAAGCGGAACATAAGAATCAAGGTGTTTTAATACCAATAAACAATGTTCGGAAGAGAGTTGCCGCCATAACAGGTACTTTTAGAGTTGCCATTTAATTTTTTTTGCTGTATTGATGGGACTTTTATGATATAAATTCGTTTTTGCGACAAAATTGAACAAATACATAACGTGATGAAACTAGGTAACTGAAATTAAAACATATATTACATATTACATAAGCATTATAAACTTAGAGTTACTATTATTTTTAAATGTTCATAATTTAATTGCAGGTGTGTTCAGAGAAAACTCTAACAAGAATTACAAACGAAGGTATTTAACAGCGCTAGCGTGTATTTCTAGAAAAAAATTGTAACCCAATAATTATGAGAGCATTAAAACTCTGAATAAAAAATTGTATTGTTTTTCTTTACCGCTATTTTCTCATCTTTTCCCTGTAAGTAGGTAGAACACCGCTAAAATACGTAAATAAAAATATACCTTTTACATAACAGAAATATTGTTTCATCGAAGTATGCAGAAAATAGTATTATTTGATAAATTACATCTGCTAAATGTAAATAAAATAAGGTAAAATTTTTTACTCATAAATGGCAACATTACGTAATGCGATTGCAGCGCCGCGTTCCTGGGGGACTTCTTTCATGAAAAGGACTATACAAAATTATCTTCAAAAACTATTTTAATCCATATAAAGCTGAGGTTGTAATATAATACTAACAAAGAATAAAAATCGTATAAAGTATCAACTGTGATATAAAGTTCAAATTCCTTTACCCACATTACTAAGATGAAGTCATTGCTGCTAAAATGTAAATAAAAATTTTGCTAAAAATAGGTGTAATTTGGCAGAATATTAAACTACCTGATGTGGAGGTAATGTAGCTGGTGGAGAAGGTGGTGCTGAAGCAGTTGCAGAGGAATGTGCCAGGGTCGTCATAAAATTCCGGTTTAGGTGCGCGGCTTCATACAATGCTAGTAACATACCCTCCTCACCACCACTTTAATAAAAAAAAAACACTATGATGTTAGGTTAAATGTTAATAAGTAGATTAAAATAATGGATGTTAATTGATGCAGCTTCTTATAATCGTGTTTGCAAACACAGTTGCCTAATATATTAATTTAGCAACTAACTTTAAAAATCTAATAAAACCGTAAATTATCAACACAATACTAAAGATGCACATATAATAAAAAAGTTGTAAAATAATTTTCAACAGAACAATTATTGCATTAATAATAAACAGTTGACTCTCGATAATTTGATTGAATTAATGTTAATTGGCCCTCTCGGTAACTTGAAGGAATAGTCTCTTGAGTTTCAAATTAAGGAGAGTCGACTGTACATAATATTGTGTAAATTTTTTTTGTTGTTTCATGTACTTTAAAAACATTCATGTATGATCTATGTTCTTGTCTTTTAACCTGAACCAATTATTAAAACTAGACTAACCTATACCTCTGTCCCCTCAATACAGGTTGTGTTTCATCATTTGTAAGGAATATACCTCCAACCATACTGGTAAGTGAACTTAACCAACCACCTGTGTTTGTCTGCATGCCACCAAATGTAGTCATTACATAGTCATTCAGAGCTGCTGTTATGACTTGGCCATACCTACAATTAATTTCAGTGTTTAGAAAAAAAAATACATCTTCTGGCCCATTCAGCTACAAACATATTTAATCACGTCTTGTCGTTCGTAATGCATTCCACAATTTAGAATATTACAGATAGTGTAAAAATTACTTAAGCACATTCAGTCTAATTAGGTCTAAAAAATTACCCATTTAATGCTAGTTCATCATCGAGTATTGACAGTTTAACCACATATGGATTAGCTGATTCATGTTTTTTGTAGTTCACAAGAAACATGAGTAGAAGGACTACATCATAACCTGTAAATCATTATTATCTATACATAAGTCTTTCTAAACAAGATAATTAATGTACAATACTATTCATGCAAAATTTACATAAAACTTTGTAGTTCAACCTATGCTATTTGTATAAGCAGGGTGCCTCTTATGCAAGAATAAATTAATTACAGTTTACTGCTTGAGAGAAACCACCCATTATAAGTTAGATGCCTACAGATGTTTCATTACTTTACAATTCATATACTACTTCATTCTAGTAAAATATTAAGACATTACAAAATATGTATACATAGTAGTATAGCAGTAGTAGTATACTGTTTATTTTTTATCACATACCATGTTGTTGTCTTTCAGTGGTTGTACACAGAAGATGAATCAAAGGTTCAAACAACGAGTGCAACATTAAAAATTCTACAAGAGGATTATCATCAATATTGTCAACTCCAGTTGCAATAATTAGCAACAACTTGAGGACCATTGATTTTAAGCTTTCAGGAACATCACCTAGAATGTTTGTGCTGAATTAGAAATATAATGTAAAAACCAATTATAATATACCTATTAACATATAATATATAAAATTAGTCTTGATACTGACCTGACAATACAGAATTACAATGTTCCAATAACTTCTGCATTTTACAACCAGGATTTTCTATACCAAGAAGAACAGTTTTAATATTAACATTAGGATCCTGTGCAAATCTTTGGTACATTGTCGTTAATAGAGCACTAAAAGTTTGAAGTGCATAAACTAATCTGTAAAGTGATTTCTTTTTTTTAATATACTTAGGACATATGGAAAATTATAAATTGGGCCATGGCGATGGGAGCTCAGTCGACTGGGGCCTATTTTGAATTATTAATCTCTTTAATGTGATAAAATAAAAATAAAAAAATAAAATATGTTTATTATGGAACATGACTGGGGCCTATTTTGAATTATTAATCTCTTTAATGTGATAAAATAAAACATGTTTATTATGGAACATAAGATGACTTATTCAACATTTGTAGGCATCCCTACTCATCGGCAAAGAAGACAGAGGGTGTAGGCCGAGAGAAAAAGCCGGAGTAAAAAGCTTTCGGTACTCTTTTAAAATAGCAAATCATTAAACAACACTTATTTTAAAACAAATATCGCAAATTATTTAGAAGTAGCCTGTCTAACACTAGTCCCAGGCCCTTTTATCAACTAGATAATCGTTAAGTTTATAGTAAGCCTTTTTACACAGCTTTTCTTTAATACATTTCTTAAATTTATTAAAAGACAGAGATGCCTCTGCGATTTTATTAAAGAAGAGTATCCCTTATCCCAAAAAAGAATTACTAACTTTAGATAGTCTAGTACAGGGAAATTGCAGCCTGCGTTTGTTCCAATATTAGTGGCAAGAAAGTATTGACTGGCAGTGACCAACTAGGACCAGATCCAGATTCTCCATTATTATGCATATCCCCATGTGTATGGCTATTGTGATACTATTTTAGACAGGAAATTAAGGCAAGTTAAGGCCTTATTGTAAGATAATGGCCCCCGCTAGCTTATTATTAAATTTAAAAAATATTGTATACCTGATGTGGTGCTCTTGTCCCAACATTTCAATACATTGAATAACTAGTAAATTAATATTATCTTTCATGTTCAACAGTTGATCGGGTGTCAATTTTTGTATTTCAGCTTCTAGTTGGGGAATTTTAGGTTTCAAGAGAAAAAATTCATCCCAAAAAGTGGGGTTATCACTAGTTAAATCTTCACCTCTGAAGAAGGACTCATAAATCTGGACAACTTTTTCCTTGAGATGTCTTTTAGACCCCGAACCACTTCTTTTTCTAGTAGCCATAGTTTATATAAGAAAAACTATTCCAATTCAATAACACAACTGTAAAATACTCTTGTATGATTGTTTTCAAATTAACAATATCATGCACAAGTCGTCTTAATTTCACAGTTTTTAGAGTGTAATTTAGGAAATTTAAAGGTTATTGCAGCAATTTCTTTTCTTCTTTTGGATTACAAGGAAATGAAAATATCTGCCTATCTTATTAAAGATTTGTTTTTCCTTTACGGTTTACCACCTCATAGATGATAGAGAAGTCGAATGTAATGACTTCTTTAATCTATGGTAAAAAACATTACCTATGTAATATGTTATTTTTTCATTATCCACCTTTGAGCAGTGTTGCCAACTTAGCACTTTCGGTGCTAGATTTAGCACTATTTTCGCAATTCAAGCACTGTCATTTAACATTCAGCATCTAGCACTAAATTTAGCACTAAACAGCCATCATTCGGATTTCTCTGGTTGCTGTAACAAAAAGCACCACCAAGGTGTAGTAATAAAACGCTACTATAATTTTTAAATCGATTTTAAATCGACTTTAAAATATAAAATAGTTAACCAATGGAAAAGTATTAACAATAATAAATGGGAAAATGTAATGAAATTGAAGTTTTGGGTAGAGTATTGAATATAAAGATGCAAACAAGAAAATCTAAATGAATAGTTTTATTGGCATTTATATTACTATCATTCCGCATTTAAGCCGATGTTAGGGGTGTTCAGTTCAATGAAAATTTTAAAAAATAAATGAGGAATAAAATGAATTTGGACATTTGAATACTTCTTCATATGAAAAGGGCTCAAAAACTTAAATAATAATTTCCATAATAGAAATTCCCAAAAGTTCAGAAAAATTTGAAAAAAAATGTAATCATTTAAATTAAAAAGTTAAAAGAACCTTCCCTAGCTTAGTCATAAATGAAAGCAGAATAGAGTAGAGACAGACGATAGTGAAGATGATTGGATGTAGTTTTAAATAATTATTATCATATAAACCAAAATTAAATTAATTTTATCTTTTTTTAATGTCTAAAAAAATAGCACAATTTTTGATATTTTTATCAATCTAGCATATTTGAGATGTCATTTAGACTATAAAGTGTGACTGCTGGTATTCTGGCTTAATACTCAAAGTTATCCACTGACCACTATAGTTAGAGGAATTTACCTCTACTTGATCTGTGTAAAATACAGATAACAATTAGCAACTGAGAAGTATAAAAATTCTAAAATGGCGAGTTATTAAAAGGTGAAGGCGTGAAAACTACCGTGATTATATATTTATTACGATTGGTATACAAAAATTTGTACTTTGCTCGATAGAACTCGTAGATTTCTATGATATAGTGTGAATTATATATACGTATTTTATTTGTTGGTTGACAAGAACTAATCAAAATAAACGTGTCGTCAGTAATTCAGTATAATAAACAACGGGAACCGCTAAGATCTAATACCTAACCATGAAATCTAAAAGGCGTCACCATGATTCGTCTGAAGAGTCTGTAGAATCCGATGACAGTGAGAAATCAAGTAGTTCGTCGGATAGTGAAAGCGATGCTTCCTCTGAGTCAGATCATCGGCAGAAAAAGAAACGAAAACGAGCCAACTCATCTAACTCAGACAGTAATTCTGGGGATCAAAGGCGATCCAAGAAACGCAAGCATAAGAAGAAAAAGAAAAAACACACCAAAAAGAAGCGCCGATCAGAGTCTGAAGATAATGTAACCAATGACCACGTATCCCTTAGTGAGGGCGAAATATCCGTTAAGAAAAGGCACAAACATAAACAAAAGCATTCCAAACATGCACAAGAGTCTCCTGACAGTGAAGGTACTATCAACCTATAACATGCATAGTGCATTAGGCCTCAATTCCTTATTTTTTTATTTATATTTGACAAAATGATTTGACATATTTTTTCAGAAGCAAGACATATAGAACGCCGCATGCACAGTGTGGTTAAGGAGCGCCGAGCTGATTCCGAAGAACAAAGACCTACAAGAACTTACTATCAGTAAGTTTACCAGTACCAGACTTATCAATTACTTTCAGGCTTACACAGTTTCATGGTTAATTTTATCTTATGTAACCTCTATTATTATGTAAAAACACTCTAGCAGCTTAATAAGTTAATGTGTGCATGTCTGATATCTGATTTATAGAGAAGCTTGTTCCAGTCATACACTACTTGGTGTGGGAAGTTCTTTAGGAGATATTGAAAGGTTTTTAGTTTTAAAGAATTTCACAAATGTTTGTTTCCACTGATACAGTGGCTATGTATATTTTTTTAAACTCTTTTGACAATTTATCTGTATAAAATTGAAAAACCCTAATTATTTGGTGCTGTCAGAAAAAAGTAACCAGTTACATTCATGCATTTTATATAAATAGATTTTCAGTAGCTTAGCATATGATATCTATTTCTACAGGAAAGAGTATCACTCAACTTCTAATGAATATGATAGAGAAGCAGAGGTTGAACGGTTTTACAGAGGCTCGAGTAAGGACCGTAGAGCCCAATATCAAGAAAATTACTATTATGAGCAGAACCGACCAGACAGGTTACTACTTAATATTGATATTCTTAATATTAATCTGTCAACTAAAGCTACTTTGTGCAGTGTCATCAAGTTTGCCGTATTCTATAAATATCCTTTTAACATTATGAAATAAACAGATGGAATAATATGTTTTTAACAGATATGTCCATCAAGAGCGAGTAAGAGAACAGGGACATGGAAGTCACTTCCAAGAATACAGCCAAAGACCAAGGGAGTATGACCAGTACAAGAAGTATGTATGAATTTTAACATATTGTAATGTTTTCAATACGGCTTTGTATTGATTACTAAAAAGTGCTCTATGACCTTTTGTTTTGATAAAGTTGTATTTATCAATTTATACATATCATAGTGTAGCTTTGTATAGGACCTTATTTGAGACTCAGTCTGACCTAGATAAATGTTTTAATTATTAAAATATTACTTTGGTTTTTATTATTATAGAAATAATATTTTTCATGCTCAGTTATGGTTTAAAAGGAAATTATTATATATTAAGACTTTTGTCATTGGCAAATAAATTAATTGAATTGTTTAAGGGGTCCAAGAATGAATGACCAAAGACAAGATAATGATTATTATCCCAAAAGAAGAAATGAAGCTTATCCCAGAGATGAAATACGAGGTATATAATGTTTAGTGTATTTTGGAGAAATTCATTTTTGTGTGTATTTTAATATTAACTTTAAATAATGTTGAAACAGGTAACAAGTATAATCAGTTTGCTGAGAGAGGACCAAGAAGAAATGAACAGTCTGATGAGAGAGACTATCATCACAGGTTAATACTTTTCCTCTTATTTTATTTCAATTAAATTTGCACAAATTATATATATAAACTAGCAGACACCAGTCATGGGGACCACCATGCTTTTTTGTAGCTTATGTGAAACGTTGGTACATTCTACACAGCGCCATCTGTTAGAATTGTGACTGTAAAATAATATTGTGGGTATAAATTAATATGTAAGGTATCCTATCTTTTAATTTAGTGCAAACTACACACGGTGTGCTAATTTGATTGAAATCGGTTAAGTAGTTAAGGACTTACAACGGACAAATAACGTTTCAAGTAATTGATATATGTTAAGATTATTACTGTTTTAATATTACTGATTTAACAGATATGCTATTGTACAAATATATTGTAAAGGTACATGATTTATACTCCTAAAGTGTTTTTTTTTAAATAAATTGTTTAATCATTTTGAAGACGAGGTCCTCCCGAACCTGAGCCATACAAAGAAAGGCCATATCCAGTCAAGCATGAGAGATATATTGAAGATGCACTCCCTGTTGATAGGTGAGTATCATTATAAGACAACTTAAATTACTATTACAATTATAATTTTTGTTCAAAACTTAATTGTAACAAATTTTAAAATTTGCTATATATTAAACAAAGGTTTGATTATCTGTATTGACTCAAATGTGTAAATTTCTTGTGCTTTCATCACCTAATGTGTCGCATGCGGCGTTTATTTCGCGAAGTAAAACAACTGTATTTATTTTTACAGTGACATCTCTACAGAAAATTATTATGAGTGCAGTCAGAATGTACTGTTGCAAAGATTATTTAAAATTTTGACATTAAATATTAATAGCTCTAGGCGAGTGTGAAAACTTCCTACTTTCTACGTAAATCGAATTATGATGAAAATACTACAATTTCTGTGTTATACTAAATAACTTCATATAATGATTCAAAAGGATTCTACTGGATACTTGTATTTTTATCAGCTCATTGTCTCAATTATATCAAAATATAAATCTGATAGAGAAATGGACACATGAAAAAATCAGTTTGCTATGGACACGGGTCTTGAAATCTTCAAATGGAGGATGATAAGATGGTATAAATCAAAGAATACAAGAGGGATTATATAAAACATTGTATTTATATTACCAAAGTATATATTTAGTATAAGATATATATCAATTTCTTTCTCAAAAGAACTTAAAGATATACGGATATTTACAAGATAGAAGTACTATATAGAAAATGATTGAGAAATTACTTTTCCAGTACATTATACCACAAGCTTCTTCAAAAATGATTTATATTTTATTATTATTGTGAATACTATAAAATGTCTTCACTTGTATAATTGGAAAGATCATAATTGTGAAATGTTCAATAATCACAATGAAATAAGAAAAGCAATCTATGAAACCATATTTCATTTTTAAAAGAAATAGACGGACTTTTTCATTTCGTATTGCGAGATAGGAATCCACTACGACTTTTCAAATTTAGAAATTAACATAGAACAGAAGATTTAGAGAAGGTCATTTGACCTATGAAACAGCGAAAGATACAATAACAGGATCTCATGAAAAGGTTTATAACTGAAAGCTGAGACCTAACTAAACCTACAATCTGTAATTACCTTTAAGAAATCTCTAATTCGGTTAAGCCAAGATGGCAGAAAATTCAGATATATTGAATTCATCACATGAACAAAACCAGGACATACAAGAAACATTTGCTACTTTGAAAATGATATTAAAGATATATACGCTATAGATAAGCAGCTAATCTTTGAATTTAACAAGAGAAATCCACGAATGGATGATATCCGTAGGTATATATGAACCCGAATCGTCGTATTTTTAATTTGATGAACGGTAAGTTAAAGGAGTGTTCCTCGCGTGAAGATTTTTGATGTTACCGCTAAATGTTAACGTAAACATAAGTATTAATAGCTGTATCAACAATATAAATTTTTTATTGTATTGTGTGATTTATCTCTTAAATTCACTATATATGAGACTGTTTGGGTGAGAAACCAATCGATTGTATAGCCAGATATATATATTATATACAAATACAAAATGAATAATTAATTTTGTAAAGAACATAAAACATGATTTTTTTTTGTGTTTGAGGTTTAGGAATACACACAATTCATGCTTATATAGGAGTTATAAATTTTAAAATTGATGAAATTCACCACGATTTCGAATTAGAATTGTTTCAAAACGGCGAGCTATAAAATATGAAGTCGCATTTCAAAAGATAAAAACAATCAAAATCGGATCCGTTCAGAGCCACACACACAAATACACACCTTAAACTTTAAAATTCAGATTGAAATACCAATATTCTATTCTATGAGAAATTTATATTTGAGTACACTTATTGTAATATATTGTATTTAACGTTGATATGGAACTAATATATAAAAGGATTGCTGTTTTAATGTCTAATTAATTTTATTTCAATGACAGGAACAGAGATGGACATCGTGAACGATCCAGTAGACCAGATAAACCAATGCCACCACGCAGGTATTATATAACGTAACCTAGATAAAATTAAAGTACTGTATTTTAGTGTTCTTAAATTAGTTGTAAAAAAGTTTTACTAAGTATTGTGGATATGTACGTATAATTGACTAAACATCCAGAAAAAAAAAATAGAAATACATATTATTAATTCGTATCCTTAAATTACTAGCTGTGTAGCGCAAGCACTTAAGGAAAAGTGTGGGCTAACTCTTTATAGGATCTATAGGTCTCTGGTTCATATCCGGCTCGAAGGACCTTTGCAGGAACAACGCATGGGCCAATCAGAGCGATCCTTTAAGTAGACGTGAAGTTCTGATTATGATAACGGTCGAGATAGTCGTCTTCTATATCAAGAAACCTTAACATTCAGACTTCCAAATTAAACTCAAAACTATAGAAATATGTTCATATTTTTCTCAAACAAATATTTTCCCATGCTTGGTTTACTTCAAATATAACAAGTGCTCTTTTGACTCAGGGAATATGTGAGTCCAGAAGAGCGACCCAGAGAAAAAAGAAGACCAGAAATTAAAGAAGAGAGACAGATTAATTTCCGCGAGCGCAATGAAAGGAGACGAGAAGATCGTAGCGGGGATAGAAATGATAGGGGCAAAGACAGGAAGACTAGGTTAGTACCTGACAGCATTAGCATAGTACATGTGTTCCGTTTCTTTTACAGTACCTCGACAAGTTAAGACTTAATTAAATCTTCGTGTTATAGTCGACGGAGCTTCAATGGACAAAAAACAGTTCGCCTCGCCTTAGTTTTCTGTAAGATAAGGCAATAGTTGGCCAACCTGTGCGTACACGCTGTCGAATTTTGAGTTTAAGGCTAAGCATTCCGGTTTTCTCAGGATGTGTTCCATTAAGTCACGATTGAGCGTCAAAACCACAACGGATTTGGATGCTATTATTTATTAAAATTCGTATTATGCGTTAAAGTATCACATATAACCTAAAAATATGTCTGATTTGAATATTTCTTCGAAAACTCTTATGATGTTCGCTGTAATTTTTATTAGCATTTGAAAGTTCATCAAACTGATACTATCTAATAAACAATGTCAAAAACAGCGCAATAGCAAAATAATAGTTTAAAATGTACGAGCAATTAGAAATATATTTAAATAATTATATATAAGAAATATTTTTTAACAGTGGTTTATTATTAAAATAACATTCGTTAGTTCGACTGGACAAATTGTCATATTATAATAGTCCTTAAAAGACGTAATAAAAATATAAGCGTCATGCTTTTATCCTATTTTTGCTGCATTATGGATATTAAAACCACAGATAGCAAATAACAGTATTTTGACTTGTAAAAGACCGCGTATAGCCACTAGCAGTTCTTAAATAGATATAATCAAACCATCGATTTAATACAAATGTAAACAAAAGTCTCTTTAATGAACCCAATCTATAAGAAATCTAATATATAATAATAAATATCTACCGATTTCTGACGTCGTGTGTTATTATTCCACTAATTTCTGTTGAAACACAGTTTTTATCGGTTTTTAACAACAAACAATTTACAGGTTTACCGACGCCGGCGAAAATAAGGAATACAGTTGGGGCAAAACGGAAGTTAAAGATGAAGGCGATAAACCAGCTGACAAGGAGAAGCCAAATTTTGGTCTGTCAGGCAAACTGACAGCTGACGTCAATACTGTTAATGGCGTCGTTGTTAAGTACACCGAGCCAGATGACGCTAAACAACCTAAGCGGCGTTGGAGGTAGCTATTCAGAAAAAAATATACACAATCTGAAATTATTAAATCATAACTGTAAAGTTAATTAATAATAAAATTGTTGGTTTTGGTTCGGTTGGTTTGGTTGGTTGGTTATTGCTATGATATTTCTCCTCTCTTTAGGAGAGTATAATAAATAAATACAACAATTTTAAATGCTTTTTTATATGCATATAGAAGCTCACACAACGATTTATATATCTCTATAATATTTTTTTTTTTTAGATTCTACCCATTCAAAGGGGATAAAGCACTTCCAATACTATACATACACCGCCAGTCGGCGTTTTTGATCGGTCGTGATAAGAAAGTATGTGATATTCCACTTGAGCACCCATCTATAAGCAAGCAGCACGCTGCGTTGCAGTACCGAGCGACGCCCTTTACTAGGTCCGATGGCTCCACGGGACGGAGAGTTAGGCCTTACGTCATTGATCTAGGTACTTATAATATAATTACGCTCGATTTTATCTGTAACTTTTTTCCCATAGAGGTCCCATACATTATGATACCATATTTTATTATCTATGTCATTATATATGACAGCTGTTTCCGGTTATGAAATTTCTATTATTTTTTAGACTCGGCCAACGGCACATTCGTGAATAACAAAAAGATAGATGGCCGTCGATACGTAGAGCTTTTAGAGCGTGATGTCGTCAAGTTTGGGTTCTCTCAACGGGAGTATGTTTTACTCCACGAGAACAGCAAGGATGAAGGCCAGGATGACGACCAGGACGCGCCCGTCACAACTGACCTCATTAAAAGGGAGAAAAGAGCCAAGGAAGAGATAGTAGCCGACGGTTAGACAAGTAAGTTTTAACCAACACATCCCCAATTTAGGTATAAGCGTATTTGTCGTCTTAGTAAGTTAAAGATATTGTTTTTTAATTATTTGTTTCACGTGTATTTGAGTTTACTACTTTACTCTATTACTAACTGTTATGTGTTATACTTTCTAAATGTGCATTCCATTATTAACTATATTTTTTAATAATCGTTATTTCTATAGAATTTAAATTAGCTGTATGAAAACAAATGACATATATAATAGTAAAGATCCCACATGAGTTTGACAGATTATTAATTATTTTATATTATTACGTTAGTCAAATATTTGTATGAAACTTTACAGCGCCCCTGGCGATTATGCACAAATATGCAATTTCTTAAATATATGACACAGTCGTAGTTTATATTAATCGCGCTTAGCAATAATTATTACGTATATTTAAGTATAGTGAAATAATTATTTTGGGTGACAGGCACAAGGCAAGGCACCTTTACACTTAGATATTTTCTAAAATTCATTGAAAACATGTATCTTCTATGTATATCGACATTTGGTTGAATTTTTGTCGGCCTTTACCAGACTCCACATTCCCCTCTCCCAATTTATTTGTTCACATAGTCGTAAAAACAGCAAAACTTATTTAAATAAAGTTATTTTCATTTCACTGTACTCATGGTTAGTATATAATAATATACATTTAAAGAAAAACAAAATTTTACTCAAAACGGACCCACCCGAATGTAAATATTCCGATTTACATATTTCCTAATTTCCTTATACAAATCAAAACCGAAATGGTAATAAGAACTCTCTTATAAAGTTGTATTTTTCCTCCATATAATTTTTTACGATGCTTTGATTTTTTATTAGTTAATGGTTTTTTTTCCAGGTGATATGTCACTTCCAACTCTTTCCAAGTAAACTGTGCAGTTTCATCGCATAGCGACAACTATGGGGATCCATAAAATATTTTAAACTAGGTTTAGATGTAAGAAAGCGCGAGGCTTTTATCTTTTGACAAATTTAAAAATTGTAATACGTTGTCGTATATCTTACTTATTTTTACTTCATTTTCTATTTTTGTTCCGTTTGCATTATTGTTATATGTATGTTTCAAAAGAATAATGTCAAATATTGAAAAACGTGAGAATTTGGCTCACTGCAACTAAGTTTAAACTGTGTTTTAATAACAATGGGAGTTTTGAGTGCAGACGAATATATTTTAATAATATACATCTATGTATTAGTAACTATTTATCTTAGAAATACAAATAATTGTATTTATTTTTTTCTCTTTGCCTTGAATCAAAATCTCACTATTTGAATAAAATTAACTTCCATTCTACCATTGTTATTTATTAAACATATTTTGTAAATGCAAAATCATTTCAGGTATCAAAACGATAACAGTTTAGTTTATAAATAAAACACTTGTTCTTTCATAGATCTATAATAGCGATTAGTTTACAAATAAATGCATAACTATAAAACATCTTTTATTTTGTACTACCCCGCTTACACTATATTTACAACATTTACAGTATAATAAATAAAGGGACTACGAATATGTCGGTGGATTATAATTGCCTAATATCACAGCTAGAGTGGAGTCTTTATTTGTTTGAAGTCTTGGCGAGATCGAGACGAGCTCGGTTCTCTTAGGAATGTGCTTTGAACGCCTTCACAGAGCGAAGCCCGCTTAACAATACCATTTCTTAGTGGAATTATTGTTGCGTTTGGTGGCCTCATATTAGTTCTAAGGGAATGTGTTCTATATAAGGGAGGTTTTATGAGTCGATTTGGTGCGACCCCGACTATGCTATGTCGAGAGAAAGGTGCGTAACTAAGGGGAGATCGTGGTATTTCGTAGCCGTCACAAATAGTGCCCGGCGGTGAATCACTGTCATACATAAGCTCTAAGTATTTAGGAGTCCGTTGGGGCAACAGATGAGATGGCTCCATTTGCTGCTCGGGTAAATCTTCATCTGAAATGTATATAGAATATGTAATGACATCAACGTTTAAAATTATGATTAAGGGTGCTCTATCTAATAGTAATATCTTATTTAAACAACATTACGTTATATCATGATATAGTCTTGAACAAAGCAAAGAAATAATATGCTATACAACATTTTAACTCGTTTAAATTAGGCATATGCGATCATCAGCTATTTAAGAAATAGAAAATTGGCAAGCAGAAGTATCTTAAGGTGACGTTAAGAGGAATGAAATGGTTATTTAAATGAATATCGAGCATGATCCTATGCTTTAATGAAAAAGCAAACATACCCAAGGCGTTGTCATTCTCGTCCAGCAGGTAGGTGCGGTTGTCGACAGCATCTAAACATGCACATGCGCGTCTTTACATTAACATTTAGGTGTATTAGAACCAATTGGTGTATCAAGGGTTACTTTTCAAGCCTTTATACACCAAAGCAATTCTTCTTTCTTTACTATATACGAACACCATAAGGATGAATGTTCCATTGGACTGAACTATTAAATTGTAATGGGATTGTTTTGTATTAAGTATGTATGTATGTGAGATCCAGTAATGAGATTTAGCGCGAGCTATGACTCCTTAATGTTAAAATGAATGCATGTTTCACGTACAGGAGTCACACTTAGCGCTTATTTCTAAAATCTTACCCTAAATGTTTGAGCTAATAAATTAAAAAAAGCGACTGCGAAGCGGTGTTGAATTAACTAAATAGTTTAATAAAAATATATCATTTATGACGAATTAAAGTTTAGGACTTTATAATTATTTAGGTATTATAGTTTTAAAAGACAAAATCTGAGTAGCTATATGATAAACATTTGAAACCGAGAAGAATCACGAAATTAAGCGTTAGGAGTCCAGCCTTTATGCGATGCTATAAACCTTTTAGGGATAATTTATTTGTTACTATCACTCGCGTGATTCTTTGATAATATTTGTCCGCCTCGGGGGGGGAAACTGGCAGTGGATCAGGTGGAGTTGAGGCGTACTATAATTATTAATAAATATATGGAGCAACTCGTACCTTTGAGAGTAGAGAACACAATCAGTATCGTATATTCCTTTAAATATATTTCCTTTAAACATTCCTGTATTAATTACTATGTTTATTAACACATATAGACCAGTCAGTCAAGACAATTAATTCAGGTAATAATTTCCAAAAGTTTTCAAATTTTGATGTAGGTCGGTGGGAGGGGTGGTATTAAAACAACTGTAAATTTGCAACTGCTCTGCGGTCGGAACATGGTGGAGTGATGAATCAAAAACGCAAACTTGGGGAGTTTTCGTCACGTATAAAATTTGATACCAACCTAAGTGTACGGAACATTTTTTGTTATTAAAAAAATGAGAAGGAACGCTCCAAGTTCGGCAAATTTGACAGATATATCGAAAATAAAATAACAATGTCCAGTCACTTAGTTGGTTGCAAATTTTATACGTGATATGAATATTATATCGAAAACTTTCAGTTTGTAGAACTTTTGAATTTTTTCACAATCAGAAATTAATTTAATTGCAATTTTAAATGTTCCGACTGCGGACAAGGTGCCAAATGAGATTTACTGTCGTCCCAAGACCATTCACTTGACCGAAGTTTGAAACTTTTAATTACTATCAATTTCGATTCAACTAAAACTGGCCTAATAGGTAAATATTCGTATTAGGCAAATGCTTACAAAATAATTTTTAACATCATCAAACATGAAAAACATTCTTTAAAAGATATTTAAAAAAAAAATTATTCATATATTCGTGTGTATTTACGGTATTTTTCCATTTTAATGAACAAAACAAATGTTTCATAGATATATACCTATGTTAATAATATACTAATTTATTAAGTCATCAAAATATATTAATAAAACTCAGCAAGAGTTTGACGACTCATTGGTCTAGTGGTTAGTGGTGAACCCCCCGAGAAAAAAGGGGGGCGGGGTTCGATCCCCGGCTGTGATATACTAATCGATGCCGATGAGCATTTGGTGTTGTGCTTAGGTCTGGATGTTTGAATATGTATTAATATTTTTGGGATTTTCGTTGCCCGGTCCCCACAACACAAACTCAAGCTTAGCAAGGACTAGGTCAAATGGTGTGTGAATTGTCTTTTAAAAAAAAAAAAAAAGTCAAAGTTATTTTTGGATTTCGGATTTGCGGTTACTCAAAATTCCCATTAAATTAACTTACAGTGCATGGGGACAATTAGGCGGTCGGTCTGGCGTTCCACCAGCCCTCACGTAACCCAGCACTTGACGGTTGGTACGACCCGGGTACGGCTGCTGGCCTAGAGATAGTACCTGTAGAATATTACTGTTTATTAGCGCTGGTTTTTATAGAGACGTAGGTACTCAGGCTTCAGTGCGTGGGAAATTTTGTTCAATTTGGGTCAAAGATACGCCGGTTTCTTCACGATTTTCGACTTGCTTGTACAGTACAAAGAAGTGGTCATTGTGCACTTAGAAAAGTCGGAGCACATCCGTGATTTGAACGCACTATATCACTGGTGATGTTAGATCAGAGACAACGCTCAGTCAGAGAAAGTTATCCACGGTTTAAGTCATAGCGATATTAAGACAAAAACTAAATACGCTATTTGATTGAAATGAATTGGGCCTTAAAGAAACCAAAATTGAGATGACTTAAGAGACCCAAGAGTTACACTGTCAAAAATGAATGCGGGTTTAACTTACCTCCCAACAAAGTACGCCCCAAGCCCACACATCAGACTGACACGAGAACACGCCGTCGACTAAACATTCCACTGCCATCCAGCGAACCGGTAGCAAACCTTTTATAAAATTGTTATTTGTTAACTTAATCTACAATAAAATAGATATAAAAAATTACGTTTAATTTACTAGTGATATCTTTAAGGCAATTCGACTAATAACTGAAATTTAAATGTTTCAATATAAATCGTGAATATATAAATTAAACTACGTAAAAAAAACGTTTACACAATCATATGCCGAGTATACAAATGCCAAGTAATCGGAATACGACATTAAAAACCTATTGTTACGATTAAATAAATTGATTTTTATAAAAGAATTTACCTTCTCCTTCTTTCCGATAGTAGTCGTTCTTATAAATATCCCTGGCTAGGCCAAAGTCTCCTATTTTGACAATTCGTCTACCGTCACGCACCGCGACCAGGCAATTGCGACAGGCCAAGTCACGATGGACAAAATGCATCTCTTCTAAATACCGACAGCCTTTTGTGACATCGACGCACATGTTGAGAAGATCCAGTAGTGTTAGGGATTCTGGAGTACCCTAATTTAACAAATATTTGTGGATTAATACCCTGTTTAATGCTAAAATAAAATAAAAAACAATTGTCGAATAATGAAAATTAATCTTATAACTAGCAAATGCCGCTATCACACACGTATGTATTCACTTTGATAAGTGCTAGTGATAAGTAATTGAGGATGATTAGTGCAGGTGTGTAGTGCAAGAAGTGTCCAATTCTTGTTTAGTGGCTCTGTTAAGTAAATTAGTTGTCGATAGCTGTTGATCAGCAAGTTTGGACAAACATCGAGAAGCGCGCTTGCAATTGAAAGAAGTATTAAACGCGGTGCTATTTGAAACCTAAGAAGTTTTGGAAGCTGAACTTGCGAGACCAAGAAAAGTATGGGTTCGAAAATGGATTAATAGAAGACCCATTCATGGTGCAAGCTACCACAAAAAATAGAAGATGTTTCTAATCACGTTACTACTTAGCCAACTAATCACCTGCACTAATCAGTCGCTGTCCATGCTTATTTCCTCCTAATCACTAATCACCTGCTCTAATAACTAGTTAAAGTGAATATACAGGCCTTTAAGCTAAGCAATATCATGGATATGCCTTTGCTTGTAATTAATTCATCAACTATGATTTTTACAAGCAAGAAACACTTACCAAAGAGGATCGTTTCGCTCTAAGATAGCTTAGTAGATCTCCTCCCTCCATAAGTTCCATAATAATGTAATTCGGGTCGTTATCGAGGCAAACTCCTAGTAATCGTAATATGTGTTCGTGTTTGAAGTTAGACATTAAAGCAGCTTCTTTTAGGAATTCAGTCTTTTCCTGCTCAGTGGCACCTTTTCGTAGTGTCTAAAAGATATAATATAGCATTTAGAACTCAATTTATTTATTTAGTCTATCTCTCAATGTTTAGTTATAAAATGCGACTTTGCGATGAAATTTTGGCAAATAACAAAATTAATTATTCAAAGAAAAAGATAATGAAATGTAATTCTGTTGAGTTTTAAAAAACATGCAATAGTTAAGAAATACCGAGATATTTAGAAAAAATGTTTGTACCAAATAAATATTTTAATTTAAACATTGAAACATAATTCATAAAGTTGTTTATAAGTAAAATCAAAATATAAATTATTCATATAGGTAACAATGTATATTTATCAACGTATAAAAAAAATAAAAAAAAGATGAACGTAAAACTGTCGAGAAGTGGGATTAATCACTCCGATGTTCTTTTTAATCGGCAAATATCTGTTTAACATTGAACTTTTAAATTAGTTGTAGTAAATTATATATAGGATTTAAATTTTGAACTGATAATGTTACTAAAATATCTCGACTCACCTTAACAGCAACTTTAGTATTGGGAGTATTACTGTCGATTTGTCTTGCGTGTCCCTCAAACACTTCACCAAACGCTCCTGAGCCAAGAAACTTAGTTAACGTGATCTGCTCCCGTCGTATGTGAGGTAACGCGGCTAGTTCTGCGTCCGACGGACAATATACACCCTGCATCCAAATATAAATTATGATCAATTCAGTTTATTAATTTATGAACATATAGTATTTTACTACAAAAAATGTAACTTCTGCTGTTTGAACTACTTAAAATGAAAATGAACACATATAAAAACATCTAATTGCTCTCGCACTATACCTGGTTGTAAAGAACATTAGTAGAATGTCTAATAGGCAATTGACGCAAAGTAGCCAGTTCTACGTCTGGACCCCTCCGTATCACCGGGGATGTAACTTGATTTTCTAGAGCCGCTTTTTTCTTATTTCTTTTATTATAACCTGGAAAAAACAAACTCTAAATTTTAAACCTAATATGTTAAATCTACTATAACATTTTTTAATATTAAAGTATAAATATATGTACTATAAAATAAGCTTTGTAAATACATAATTCTTAGAAACATATATATGTAAACGTAAATGACAACGCCTACTTACTGTAAAACAAGGCCAACGCAACAGCTAGGACAATAACTGCAAGCGTGAATATTGCCATAGCTAACGCAGCCGGGTGAGGTCTTGCTGGGTGAATAAGGGGCGCTGCATGCAATTCCCCTGCTGGGGACAGCTCACCCCACCCATACGAGTTACGGGCCTGTACACGGGCGATATACCCTGCACCTATCTCACCCGATCCGATTAACCAGTAGCTTTCTGTAAAGTAGGAAGAAATATAAGCTTATGCTATTTTAAATTAATAAAGTTGAAATAGCTGTGAAATTAACAACAAATATTAATTTGTCTTAACTTTAAAAGATTAATTAAATGTAGGTTGTTTCCATGAATTGATCTCGGACGGGTTGAATGTATAATGTAATAAGTAATGTAAACAAGTAATTATCCGATGGATGTTCAGAGTACCAGAAAGTATTCATAGAGGTAATTTATGAATACCTGCCGTGCGATTCTATTAATCCGTGAGTTCACCTCGCACTAACAACGCTCCCTTCGTCACTCACGTCATTTTTGGAATCTCATGGTATTGTGTTAAGCAATTTCACATTACGTCTTGACAAGCGGAGGGAGCTTGTAGTTTATAGTTTATCAGAATGCCAAATCGTAAAATGACTGCTTCACGACTGATTTGAGCGCGACCGCCGCTACGAAAACCGCTGTGAGAGTTCGAAAAGTGAGTTACAGAATCGCATGGCTGCTGGTACTCTGTCGGTATATTCTTCATATTATCGTTGTTATGTGGAACTGAAATTCAAATATTAAATGAAATAAATAAATCATAAACATCTCACCAGTTCCATTGTGTAATAGTTCCAATCCTTCACGTATAATTCGCGTCTTCAGTTCATCATCAATGTCGGTTGGTAGATCTGCCCGTAAAAGTTCACTCACGTTGCTCAACGAATTATCATCCATATGCTCAATCCTACTAATTATAATACCGTAATTGCATTAAAAGACCGGAGAAACATTTCATTGTTAAATTACAAACCTTAAAAATATTAAATGGAATTTAAGAGACTTTTGATGAACGAAACATTTTGACAATTTAACGTTTAAACTAACTTTAAAACATGTTTTTTCTAATTCTTTAGACAAATGTTATGTTAAATATATAACATTTAAAATTTGTATAAAGGGTATATAACATTTATAGCACAAACCTGTTTCTAGGAGTGCCCCAAATTCGGTAGTGTGTCACAGGATCCCCGCGTGGGTCCGGTTCTGCCCACCAGGCTCGAACCATCTTTTCTCCCACGGCTTCTACACGTAGGACGCCGGGAGGGCCAGGAACGTCACCTAGACGCAATAATACATTTGCTAAATTTGATGTATTTACCGTAGTTATTTTTAAATATCACAAGAACATCGCAAGTCTCATTTAGATAGATAAAATTAAATAAATCAGTGGCGCTTCAATTCGCAGATTTCTGAATCTGTTTCATGATCATTTTTTTAAATCTAAAAGGCAAGTAGGTGATCTGCCTTCAGTGCCTGACACACGCCGTCGACTTTTTGGGTCTAAGACATGTCGGTTTCCTCACGATGTTTTCCTTCACCGTTCGAGCAAATGTTAAATGCGCACATAGAAAGAAAGTCCATTGGTGCACAGTCGGTGATCGAACCTACGACCTCAGGTATGAGAGTCGCACGCTGAAGCCACTAGGCCAACACTGCTATTTGCATTTAGATAGATAGCCAAATAAAATTGCAATAAAGTATATGCACTTATCTATGATGAAGAAATTATTTCAATTGTGTAAAAGTGAATTGTGAATATGTGCAAATGTATTAATAAGTTTCATTTTTTTTTTAAGCTTTATTCTTGTAATATGCCTTTTGTGTTTATAAACACACTGGATTGTGGCTTTTTCGTTACTTTTGTAAGCTATAAAATATAAAACAATTAAACATGGCCGACGTAGAGAATAATTTATTTTCTTTTTGTTTATTTCAAATGTCAGAAACAAGTTACGAGTGCAAAAATCTTACCGAAAGTTTCAAATACAAAGTTGTAGTCTCGTGGCCAGAAGTAGGGGAGCGTATTATTGACGTATTGCAAACGCAATCGGAATCGGTATTTTGTTTTCGGACGCAAATCTGTGGCAGCCCATTCCGCGTTTCCACTTTGTATACAAGGCAACCAAAGATCAGTTGTACCGCCCGTTTCGCTGTACTCAACAAGGTATCTGAAACATTACGAAATTAGATGTTTGTTAATATAGTCTTTGATTTACTGTGCTACAAGTCATTGACCATTACTGCCTACAATCACTCGAAACAACTTAATAAATTGGCGCATGCACCTATTCAAGCAGTTTTTATATATATAATGTTTGACTGAAAAGCGTAGCATATTAAAATGTTACTAAATCCTACAAAGAATTGGGTTAATTTATTTATCTTGTATATTATTTTCTCAAGTTTTACTCGTAAGTTTTGTTACCATAGCCATATCTTATTTAAACTATGACTCTTTATTGAAAAGCTTTATCCTAACAAAGGGGAACTTCTGTAGACTAATAAAAAGAAACAACTACACTATAATGAATAATATGCGGTCATATGCCTATTATAAGCCTGAATCAGTTCAATATTTTTTGTATCGTTTGATGCAAGGTACGTAACAAGAACACAAGATTCAATAACTATTACTGGATTACGATACGTTTAAAGTGTTTATAACTTACTGGTTCAACGTATAACTGGTTGGTGCTGGCCATATAACTGTTAAGGTATACGCTGTAGCGTTCTTAAGGGATATGGGCGCTGGGGGCGGAAACGTTCGCAAACGCAATGGCAAAGAGTCAGCAGATACGGCGGAGTGACGAGAACGTGCGCGCACCCAAACTGTATATAGCGTGCTAGGGGATAGAGGCGTCATTATTGCACTACCGCCTTCTGACACTTCGAATGTGTTGTGCTCTGTAAAATTTATACACAAATTACCGCCACCACGAAATTTTTCAAAGATTTTCTTCTGAGATTAGGAATTAAAATACATTACCATAACACTATTTATTTTACAGTAATATTTTAGGTATCTAAAACCAATTTCAAAAGTTTAATTCAACTAAGATATCCTAACGATGCAGGAAAATTTTCATTAATTGTATAACCAATATTGATAACACTTACAAAGTAATTTAAACTAACCTTTACGATGCGGTAAAGATGGTGAATCGTCAGTTCGCCAATGAAGTTCGTACCATAAGCCAGGCTCAGGAGTCCACTCAACTCGGGCTAACACTGGGCTTAAAACTGTACCCGTTACGTTTTTTGGCGCTGTTGGGGCTGGAATTTATAGAATGAATAAATGTCAAAAAACTAAATCTAACCTAACCTAACCCTACTTTCCAATCTCACTACTAAAAACTGAAATTTTTAGACCATCACACTCTTTAGAATAATTAAAACAACATTTAATTCAACAGCACCATAAAATTTAAGATTAAGAGTCGAAAAAAACTAATGTCTTGTTGATATATGCGTGTACTGTACCTTCAGCTGCCGTCTGCAATAAGCACATTGGACCGATGATAGGCTTCATCTCATGCAATTTTGCGTAGTAGTTGGTGGCTTCAATCCTTACGGTATAATTCGTGAATGGTTTAAGATCATTCAATATTATTTCAGTATTCGTTGTTGTTAAATGAAAACAGGAATCTCTGTCACAAGGCGTTGAGTCGTTGCTATGTAAGCGGTATAATACTGTGTATTCTGTTAACGTCATCTCGTATTCTAATTTGCTACAGTTATTCGGCTTTATTATTATTGGCATCTGCATCTTGATGCTGTTCGCTGAATTTGATAGTACTCGCGGTATAAGTTTTTCGGCATTCGGGAATAGGCAGGGTCTCGGCGGGTACGGTTGATTAGAAACATCCAACGCCATTATTTTATAACCGAAAGTGGACTTCACTTGGTCTATTTTATTCTTTTTGAATTTGTTTGTATAGAATATTGACCTTTCTGATGAGTTGTACCAGTAAATGTATTTACTATCTACAGTTAGGGACATCGGTATGAAGCCATATTTCTTTTTCTCAGTAGCATCAACGACTACTCTACAGTGACAACCCGTTATATCAGTTGCTACAATTCTATACAACCAAGGATCGATAAAGAAAATCTCAATATCATTAGTCAGATCGATAACAAATGATTTTGCTATTTGAGGATTTTCAGGGCAGTTACAGTCATCTCTGAAGTCTAGCTCTGAACTATCAGAGTAATTGAAGAATGGCCTCAGATTTGAGCCATTGATATTAGACGTCAATAGAGTCCCAAATCCTGTGTGATTACTTTCTTCATACCAGAATAATGACCTAAAATAATAAAAATATGTAAGAATTACCCAACTTTTGTATAGTTATTTCAACGGAATTCTGCACATGTATTTGGACTAGAAATAAGCTTTGGTTAAGGTAATGTTATTAATTTGAAGAAGAAAGTTATACATGTGATTAATAAGCACACATTACAAAAAGTTTATCATACCTCATCGAGGGTACAACTTGCAAGCTATGTATTTTTTGTTGTCTCTTAAGCACTCTAGTAACACGGGGGCGCGTGTTGGGCAGGCCCAAATCGGCACGGTACACTACGTGTGACTCTATAGATGCCCGCTCTAACTGTGACCAGTAGACCGATCGACTAACCCAATCAACGCATATGCTCGTTGCTGTGCCATTAATGGATGTAAGCTGCAAGAAAATTCATAATTGTATGTTTAATATAATCCATCTCTACCATCTTTTAACTCTATTATTACCATTGTATGGTTCCTGCTTCATTTAGTTAGTAGTGAACATAATATACAATAATTCTAATTCATAAAAATATCTATAGAATATTCCACTTTAAATAAAATATGTTTACTAGTTAAAAGCAAGTGCTTTACAGATTTGTATTACAATTAGATATCTACTTATTAAAATCACAAATCAATTTAGTTCATCATTGATTGAATAATTGACGTACCTTATAATGTCCACTGCCATTTATTCGTGAAGAAAAAATTTCTTCAAGGTCATTCACCCAATATGCAATATTTTCTTCGATGTCTATAGAAAAATCTAAGGGTATTCCAGTACTTTTAGGTATTATCTCACTATCACCCGTGCCTAGGTCAATTATTTTTATCGATTCTTGTGACGAAATCATAACTTTTGGAATTGGATTGATTTCATCTGAAAATGCGGAAACGATTTCGCTGTATTGGCCATAACCTGCGTCAGTAAAGGCCCGAACCTGAAAGCAAAAGAATGTTACAACTAGATTATTAAGAATTGTTGTTTTAGTGAACGAAATGCTACAAGGGAATAAGTTTTTAGTATCATTATCTGTACGTATATTCTGTAAACTAGTCACTTTCGAAGTCTTACAATGGGATTAGCTAAGCGGAGAAGAAGGAGGGTATAAATATAGAGCAGATCACAATAATATATTTTTATATGTCTATCAGAAGCCAAATCGTAATATGTAGTGTTATGCTGCAAGTGTGTCACGCACAGTTGAGTGTGATGCGGCGCTAGTCGGGCGGGCACACGCTATAAAAACGGGGCGCGGGGTGAGTACTACGCCTCGTAACCCCGGACTATCCCAAGACTGCGACGTGGCGAGCCCCAGTGGAATATTGCATCAGTGAACTAGTAGCTGGACTTTTCATGTCATACAATGCAGATTAGCGAATATAAGAGTTAGAGTCACTTTTTCCGAGATCCTGTCAAGAATAAACTAAGATCATAGTTACACAATCTATATATTTTTATATGTCTACAAACCTGTTAAACGAATATGAGTGTTAAGACCTTCAATAGTGTTAAAGTCTAGCACGAAAAATAATGCGTGTGACCTTGCGGCGCTAGTCGGGCGTAGGGAGCACACGGCTGAAGGGGTAGCGGGGTCGAGCCGGGCGCGCGGAACGGCCCAGCACTGCGCCTCGTACTGATACCCCGTACTATGGACCATCAATACTCTGCGACGTGGCGAGCCCCAGCGGAAATTGCACGATTGTAAAACCATCGCTGATTATTTTCATGTCATACAATACAAAAATTTTACCTCAATCGAACGAACTCGTAACGTTTACTATTAATTACCTTAGTCGTCACGTTATTTGTCCGAGGTCCTGTCCAACTGCTATTGTTGAAGCACCGCTGAATCACATCAAATCTGATCAGTTTAAATTCTATCTATTAGATACTTTGAATTTAATCTATCACTTTCGTGGCCTGTTAAAATCGAAACAACCGCTGTTTGAATTCCTGATGAGTTAAAACCTTATAAATTCAGATGTTTACAAGTCTAGACACAGCTCTTGATGCATCGAAAATAATATACAAACCCAGTGTGGCTGTAGAGGCGACTCATTAGAGCCTGGTGACCTGCTGTACGTAAATTTTGTCTTTGATTTTATTTAACAGGAGGCAAACCGGCAGGAGGCTCGGCTGTGTTAAGTGATACCGCTACGTACACTTTCAATGCCAAAGCCCCCGTTGCTGGCCTTTAAAAATTGGGCTCTTTTCTTGCCCCAGACTGTCGTATGCGTCCGATCCCTCCAGTGGGCAGCTGGTTCCACGTACTGATGCGCGGCAAAAATTGTCTTAAGAAACCTCAGTTGTGGAACGTCGGACGTCGAGGTGATATGGATCCATACTACGCTCTGATAACGCTCTCAGCCATTAAGGGACGCCCAACTGACATAACAAGTTTTCTAAAAAACAATAGTGCTGTAATTAGGGCATATAATAAATACTGCTCTAAAAATTATTGATTATTCTTCTTTCTATTGCGTAAGCTAAAATTAGTTTAAATAACTTTTACCTAATTTTTACTTGTTGAGTTGGTAACGAGGGCTGACAGTTATAATAAACTCAATTTGTACTTTTTTCATTAACCAAAAATTCGATGCCGGAGACCGAAGAACTCACGTTGAATTGGTCCATCAAGAAATGTGCCTATTTCCACTGCTATTGTCTGTAGCACTTTATCGTTTCTGGTATCCATGCGCCTAATTATGGACTTGACAAGACGGCATGCTAAATCGTATAAAAAATACTCTATTGAATACTGTCAATTTTCAATCAAATATCCGATGTTTAGGTGCAATCGGACGCTTCCGGATGCGCCTGTAGCGTCCCTTGTCATTTGAATTAGGTCAGGGCTCGAATGCCACCATTACACGATTCTGCTGTCGTAGCATCTGACGTAATGTAGTATGCTGCCTGGCACTTGCGATTAAAAGAAACTGTGCACTCTTGGTCGCCATCAGATCTTCAGACATTTCAATTAAGTTTGCACACAAGCGTCTGAGACCACACGAGCTCTTGATCCACCTCGCCACCCAAACTGAGCCGCTCGCAAAGTTGTCACAATTGGACCTGCAGTTGTGCCTGGGCGTCTGTAGCCTGCAACGTAGAGGCGGAATCGTGATTCGTCAGTCAAAGCACTGGTCACCTGTCGAAGCTTGCCAATTAGCGAGATTTTGGGATGTCGGCGCTTGTTTATGTTAATTGTTACAGGAGGCCCGAACCGGTCGGCGTCCAAGGCTTCAAACCTATTTCTTCCGTCTGATGGTAAATTTCAACAGTAGCCGTCCTTAGTGTACATTTATAATGCACAGAAGACATGTAGCGATCTTGCAAATGCAGTTGTCTCTTTCGGCCTTGATTGACCTAATTGACGGTTCGCTTCAAAGTCTGCCCTATTTGACGTTCAAAGCGGTTTCGCATTTTAGGTGGTCTAATCATGAAAGCAGTAATTTTATGATTTGGCATTCTGAAGCTGAGTTGAAAATAATTGTTTATCACAATGCATCCTTTTCTTGAAGCCCCCCCAACCGCTAAGTCGAAAATGAGTTCGAAAATACTTCAGTGGGCAGGGGCTGGTTTCCTACATAGTGGTGGCTGTGCGACTTCAAAACAGTTGTCTTAAGAAACGCAATTCAGTCAGATCTGGCATTATGGCCAACGACGGACGTCGTAGGTGAACCAGGTATTTTGCATTTTTTGCCTTACGTCCAAAAGATTGAAAAACTCAAGGTCTGCGAGAAGTATGAAAATCCAGACTCCCTTTGTTTTTAGGTGTTTCTAGGCACGGCCACTTAGTATAGGGCTACTAGCCAAAACATCGATGGTCTTTTGTTTTTATTTTCTTCTACAATTCCCTTAACATTATCTAGGGCCATAAATTACCAAATTTAAGTAAAAGTTTAGTTCCTTAAATATTTAAATTGTTTTGACAAATGATTCTAGTTTTAATTTTCAAAAGTAATTGTATTGCGATGGAAGGAATTCAAACGAATATATGTTAACTTGATGCCTAAAAAAAAACAATTAACACACGCAAATATGTATTGACATGTTTGAATGAATGATTCATTGTAATAAAACCCCCGAAGGAATCAATTAAATTAAATTTAATTTAAATTTGTTCTTACCTCGTTAGCACCAAGTGAAATCTTGTCAGCTGTGACAGCTCTGTGAAGTTCTGAGCCATCATAGCTTCGTACAAGCCAATAGAGCCATTTATTTTCTAAATCAGCTGTTAATCCCATTACTAGAAAATTAACAAATTTATTTGTAGTTCACTTACTTATTATGTTAATTAAAATCTATATCTGTATAAAATCTGCATTTATATAAAAAAAATGAATGAAAATTCTCAAAAAAAATATTATATGGACTTTGCGCTTCTATGTTTAATTTTGTTTAACTATTTTACTATACTATTTCGTTAATTATTCGATACGTATTATTAGTACTTAGACTGCAGTTGCTGCACTGTAGGCTTACGTATTAAGTTATCTTATCTGTTTAAAACGTTACGACAGGTAAAGGTCAATTGTTTTTAAGATTTTACATGTCCTCTAACTAAAAACTTACACCCTTAATCATAAAAGTATTTGAGTCTAATTACACCATTTTAACCAACTCATTTATCTCTTTCTGTCAAATTGTGTTTAAGCTGTGATGGAAAGAGACTGAGCGGTAATTTTGTAATTTGACGGATCTGATAATCAGGGTTAGTCTATAAGCATGTTCAAAAAGGTTAAAAAATTCTTTAATAACCTTGTTTTCCACTAAAGAGCTGTGCAGGATAGTAGATAATTTTATTTTCGCCATTTAATCTCGCTGCTTCCACGGCATGGCCCGTGTTCCAATAAATATAGGCTCCTAGAGAATCGATAGTTAGTTCTTTGGCAACTGTCACTATGGGTACTGGTTCTTTGTTACTGCCATCGAAGTTACTGCGAGTTATCTAAAAAAATATATTTTATTAACCTACCTATGAAAAATTTACATTTCAAATCATTTACGCAAATTTCAGACTTTAAATTTTTAAAGATAACAATTTACATTTTTATTATTCTAATTAGATAATTACGCATTTATATATAGTTTACTTTAATTTTGGATAGGTGTAATAATTGTTACAAAAAACTGGTTTAAATAAATTCTTCAACGGATATAGAAGCGAATTTATTACATTATAATAATACATGATCAGAGACAGACTGCCACATCAAATTGACAAATAATTTCATATAAGTAGGTATAATAACTGTGGAGAAAGGAAGGTTGCTCTTCCTCCAGGGAGGAATCTAGACCGACTGGTCTAGATGTTTATGGTTTATGATGTAGGAATGGTTAGACTAACCATTGACTAGCCGACCCTAAGGCAATGGCAGAGGTCTAAAAGATGTATATACTTATAGAGGTCGGAAAAGCTTTGCTAGGGTATGACGTCATCGTAGTGGGAGTCCCCTCCAATCACTACGATGACGTCATACACGGAAACAAAAGTAAAGTCAACAGAGACTGTAGATGATGCTACGAAGACTATTGAAATGTTACATTAACGCTAACTATGGCCGAAAAAGGGATATTTCTTTCGAATTCTACAAGTTTCTGGTCATTACCGTAAACATACTCCTGAGTATGTGAAAACCACTCACCAATTGTTGTTTAGGATTCGACCAATAAATTTTCTTCCCGACCCAATCAACCGCTAGACTGCCTACATTATCCATATTGGGCATAAAACCTTTGCCATGCGATGTGGAATTGTACCACATAACTGTTGATGCGTTGGTCACTAAGTAGAGTTGGTCTCGGTACCAGGATATATCAGTTATGTATAGGTGCTGCAGTTCCAGATAATTACTGTAATTAAATTAATTTGTTTAGAACGTTCGAATAGAATCCATCGCACCCAAATTGTATGGAAAATTAAAAGGTTAACAGACATTCTCTTAAGCTTAGGTTTCCTAGAAAAGCGGTGCCGTTAACTAACGGCCGTCATTTTACGGTTGTTAATAACGGCCGTCTTTACTTTTTAACATAATGCAAAAAAACGATCATTTTCGCTCGTCCAAGTCACGTTTCCACTCATTGTATTAATTAAATATGGGCACCGCTAAACCCGAAAAACGTTGGACTACTGTTTATCACCGCTATGACGGACGTCATGCAAATGACAGCACCGCTATTTGACCTTACGGTGAAACTCAACGTTCTCTAGAAAACCTACTCTGATGTTATTTATAGACCACGTATGGGTGACGTCACCTAACGTTACATTACGGCCATTAGATAACGGCACCGCTTTTCTAGGAAACCTAAGCATAATTAATGTAATATTACAATGTATACTAATTTTTATAAGCCTTAATATTTTTTTTTATTTAAGTATCTACTATTTATAGGATTAGTAATATACATAGAACATTATTTACCGATCAATTAAGGTTTGCAAATTATCTCCTGTTAGGTCTGTTTGGAGAAGGCCATTAGGGCCGGACCACAATAATGTGCTTTGTAGAGTAGTTGGAGATGATTTCAACGTTTTACCAATAAATTCGGATGACCACGGGCCTAGAACATAAAATATTGTTTTTAACATAGTCTTTATTTATTTTAATGTTATTAAAAACCCTTAAATGTTGATTGTAATAAAAATACGATAAAGAAAATTATTATTTCTTACGTCAAATACACTTAACCAATTCTTAAAATCTTTATGAATTGGGAAATAATTCAATAATTTTGGATCTTGTAAAGTTGGTTAAATTATGTATAAAGGTTTATTTAGGAAAACTTTAGTTTTAGTAGATTTCTTTTCTAAGAGGAAAATACTCAATTACCATGTTTAATGTTTACTAATGCCAATGCCAGAATAGACAAGCCTTATTAGTTTTTTTAACCTACCTGAGCCAGATTGGGTGACGGCTGCGATCCTTATGACGTACTGCGTATCTTGCTCGATATTGTCAACAACGTGCGTTGTTTCGTTAATATTTTTACTAAAAAACAAAACACTTCAGTCTAAAAACAAATCAGTCGATGTAAACTGGCTTTCGAGGTTATATGTAGTCCAATTGGATGACTCCTACTTTTAGAAACATTTAAAGACATATTAGGTTTCAAACCGAAGGGTCCTCGGGCCCATTTCACGTGATTAAAACATTATTTGTTTAATTTAACTTCTACACTAAAATGATTACTTTATTACATTCACTTTATCTCTTCTTCTTCAGTCTTCATTACTGAAGGTCATGCCTATCTTGAAAAGCATTAATAATACCCTGACATGCTGCCTCTACACCAGTCTTTCCTTAAATTGTCTCAGTACATAAGGGATGTTGAGACCAATAAATTTGAAGCAAAACGCATATAACGCGTAAACGGGCACAGACGATCCAGTAAAAAATCCAACATAAAAATATAAAAAATAAGAAGAACATTTTCAACATGTTCGTAATAATACTTACATGCCAATAGTCTCGCCGGTAATAACATTCGTCAACTGCAAATGAAATGTCCACTGCTGCCAAGCGCCTGTTCCCTGATGACCCAAAAGATGTGGAGCAGACCAGGAGACCTTCGCCCTGTTAATCCCCATCACAGCCTGAACCCCTAACGGTGGATTAACAGGAACTGGAATCGGCTGACAACTCCTCAAAGCCACCAGAACTTCCCTCGTTGCAATGGTCTTAGTGTTATATGTTACGGGATACTCGTTGTGGAAGTAGCTATCTCGTTTTGGATGATATTCCTCCATTAGGATTTCGTTTCCATTCGTCCAGTAGAAGAGACCGTTGGCATATGCTATAGACCGTGGTGAGAAGAACATTGGTCGTTGTGTGTTACTGCGGAAGTCTGACACTTCACGTCTGAAATGTAAATAAAAAATATATGACGATTGTACACTTTTTGCCTATAGACTCAATCTCTCCTGGACTGTGCGACAGCTCTCCATCTATATTCTAAGCTAACCACCTTTTCACTCAGTGTCTGGGCCAGCATTAACAGCCGGTATATATAAAAAAATAATATGATTTATACAGGGTTATTAGTAATTCGATGTATTCCCGTTATGAAGTGATAGTGGTGACTATTTTTATATATCAAATATATCACGTTTTTTAGCTTTTTCCCAAACAAGTCAAAAATGCAACATCAATTTTTTTTTTTAAATCTCTTTTTTTTATTTATAAAAAACGATTAAACTCTGGTTTTTCATCATTATTAACACAACAACTATCGGTCCAAATGTAAAAATGCGAGACGAAAATCGATATTATTTCAATTACTTTTGAGATTTTTTTCCACTAAAATGCCTTTAATAAAAAAACGTTATGACACTTGGCTTGTTTGCCCATAAAATTAATTAAAACACTCCCAATGTAGATTGATAAAAATATACAAATTTAAATCAAAGAATTAAACATAGTCTTACCCATCCAAAGAAACCGCCAGGACTGTATTCCTTCTTATATGAGTAACAAGAAGTCTAAAGTCAGCGTGATCTACGGTAAAGGCGCCAAGGTTAGCATCGTATACTATTTGTTTTGGGCGGCAATCGTGTTTGACGCCGTTGGAGATGTTAGCCAGGTCTAACCGGTACAATCCCCCTCGCTCTATACCTCGAAGAGCCCAAAACAGATAACTGAAAAAAAAGAAAAATGTTCTCGTTGAATTTATGAAATCAGTTCAAAATTATAAGCATCTATGTGACAATAATACTTGTATGATTGTATCTTTGAAAAAATCTAAGTATTTTTTATAGTTTGTTTAGTTGGTGTTCTGCGTAATTCTAAGTTTGCGCAACAAGGCTTTGATATCCAAAACAGGTATTTCTAGTACTTTCGCTGTATGCAATAGATGATAGAGTACATAAAATAGTACAATTATGTATATATTTAGACGGATATATTTGATTAATAAATAAAAGATTCAAGTCTTTTATTATTTGTGTGACACACGAACGAAATCGCACAGAAACAGCGAGCAATAAATTATCTACTTACCCGTTATAAGCATCCACTTCAAAGTGTATGGGTCTTGAATTAAAACCCGATGAAGCTACAATACCATTTTTACCATCAAAATCGCATCTCGATATTATCCAACTGGGGTATAGGCTGGAATTCGTTCTGTTCGATCCCTTATAATAATAAACTTCACCAAGAACATATAAGTGTTGGTTAAGCCAATCCACTGAAAGGTCCAAGGGCTTATAATCAATGGTTTTTGGGGATAAAATAGCTTCCGGTGGAGTTTTCTTTGATAAAGAGCTTTTGTAAACGAATCCATTTGATACAGATATGAATAGATTGTCACTGGATACATCAACGCCCACTCCTGTAAATGGATTAACGTATAACATATGGATTAAATATATGTATAAGTTACGAAGCGTTTGATGTGTTGACACGGAAAACGTAAGCTAAAACTAATTTAAGTCTAACTTAAGTTAATTTAAGACTAATTTAAGTTAATTAAAGTCTTAAATTAAAATAAAATACTCTTTGAATTAATTTATGTTAATTAAACATTATTATTATATTTCATTACTATTATGATTATAACTTGAGTACAGTAATTGTTGTAGGCACGGAAGGCTGCCTATTATATGCCTATTGAGAAAAAACAAATGAAACAGAAATTTGAGGCCCAGATAAAGGTTGTAGCGCCACTGATTTTTTAAATTGTTGTAATGCCATAATGAAGTGTTATAGAGAATTGCCCAAAATAAATAAATACCTATTCCAATTACCTGTAATAATATGCTCCGTACTGTATAACTCTTCAACTGGGTCAGACAACATATCGTTAGCGGATGCTGCAAGAATATTATGTTCCCCACCTAATATAAGAATTGGCTGTTGTGATGGAACAGCTGAAATTTATAATTTAAGTATTATAATATTTGCGTGTACTTAAAAAGCTGTTAAAAATCTTTTAAAATATAAGTGTATTTTCCAGTTCCATAATTTAACCGAACTGAAGAGAAAGTAGTGTACCAAACTCCATTTATGCTTATAGGCCGAAAATATTGCTTTTTTAAGCGGTTCTAAATAAAAGATCATTTACAGCTTTAAATCGTCTCTTGCTGAATGCGAATGCTCTCACGAAGTGTTGACTTATGTAGGTAAATAATTTGTTTTAAACGAAAGACACCAAGTAACGTGTGTTCCAAGTCAAGTCTTCTTAGAACGATTTCTTAATGTATATTTTCTTAATATAACCTTTTCACATAACATTAAGTATATTAAGCATGTATTAAAATTAACAAATATGATTAAAAATTTCCATTAAACTACGTTTTTACGTATAAAATATATTTATTTACAGTTAGACGAAGCTAAAATATAAAATTTGGTAAATGCATTAATGAGATAATATAACTTACAAGTAGGTAAAGAGGGTGTGGATATAAGCACATAAGCTCTCGGTCCCTCCCCAACAGCGTTCCGCATTGCTACAGACACGTTGTACTGACGAGCTGGTGCCAAATTTTGGAACATGTAGAACAAATTTTTGTTTGACGCTGGCATATCCTAAAGAAATATTTAATCAAAATAAATTTGTTCATGTCGGTACACGGTCGTACACTTATGAACGTCAGTAAAAACAATTCATGGTTCTTCATTTAAATCTTTCACGAGAAGTCAATAAACTCCCCGTCAATTTTTTAAATCGCCAAGGTTAAATAATAGACTAGAATTTTAATCGCTTTTTTAAAATTACCTTTAAATTTTGCTGAATAAAAAGGACCCACGAATTGAACAGTGTTATAATAAAAAAAACAAACATATTTAAATCTCCTTGAAAAATACTAACCTCCAAAACATCTATAGTGTTGGGTTGTGTATCAGCCAGTCGTAGGACATATGATATTATCTGGCCATTGGGAAATGGTCCTGGCTCCCAGGAAATGGCAACTCTGCTTGAGTCTGGCGCAGCAGCTCGCAAAGATGCAGGTGCAGAACTCGGTTTACCACTGTCTGACGTCAATATGACAACTGATGGCGCTGAATAAACAGGCTCACCGGCGCCATTCCGGCCCGAAAGGAATATTGCGACACGGAACTGGAAAGATATAGGAATTATTATAGAGCTTCTACGAGCAAAATGTATGTACGCGCCTTGTTTTCGAGGGGCTAAAATTGAATGGTTACACATAGTAACAAAGTTTTTTTCCCAGAAGGATAAGGAACTTTTATGTAATTTTCATCGATCAGCTTTAGTTTTTTATATGTAGAAAAACACAAAAAACAAAAGTTTTACTTTCGAAAGCAACCTAACCCTGAAACCTTTCTCCTTGTTCATCACTAAAATGGCCGAGGTTATCACGAAATAGTCCAAATGAGAATGTAAATAATTAAGTTTTAGGCTCTCGTTGCAACCAAGATCTTTCAGACATGATAACATATGTTGAACTAAGTCGAGGTAGTTTGGTGCTTTAGTATTACCAAGAAAGTTTTCAATGCCACAAATGATTGCCTTGCATTGGACCGTGTTTTAGCAAAAGTTTCACCAGTATTCGTGACATCCATACAGACATATTATTAGATGATTAAACGGAATAAATTCATAAGAGGGGAATTTTATTTGTAAAGCACCTTAATGTAATTACCGTCTCTTGTTTGATTTATACTTTCGTCTGTTTGTAGGTATTTTCGTACGTAATGTATAATACATTTAGCTTATTATTTTGTATTATCCTTTAAGTAGCGTTATTAGATTAGAATTACAGAGTAAACTTAATATAGCGACGTTTTATCGATAGCGCATATTCTCGCGTTATAGAGAGTTGTCATTAAAATAAACGTTACATTTTATGGACAGCAAGACTACATCGCGTAATTTCGACGTTCTGTAGAATTTGACGTTAAATCAAGTGATCTTGCATGGAGTTGTCACTATGTATTTTAAGATAATTTCGGCACAAATTGAATTTTTAGAAAACATCTAATAAATGCAATATAATTATTCCCAATAGCTTAAGACGCTGTTCTTTTTCATACTCAATGCAGAACAATAGTAATCGGTGGGAGACAATAGAAAAACATATGCAATCGTGACTTTACCATTCCAGAGAAAAAGTCCCGAAGTGGTAAGGTCGTAGAAGAATAAACTTACTCGATATTTGGTATACGGTCTCAAATTTTCAACGTGGATAATGGATCTATCTGAATGACTAGAATTGGAGTAATATTGCCAGCTGCCGGGTAACTCCTCGTATCTCCATTGAACAAGGTAGGTGAAGTTTCCAAGGTTTGGGGCTTCCCATACTAAGGATAGCGAGGTAGCCGTTAAACTGTCCGCTACTAATGCTGGTGCGGGAGGCGTTCCGATTAAGTCTGAAAAGAAATTCGTTTACATTCACCACTGTTTATTTTTAAAATGTTCGAAATTTCTTTAACATTAAAAAATTACTTCTTAACAATTTTGCTTAGAAAAGAAGTCCCGTAGACCACAAATGGCAGATGGAGAGTATTTTTCATTAAATATTTTTTTTATAGACTTAAAAATTTTAAAAATATCTAAATGATTCGCCGGTATCGAGCCCAGGACTTTCGACTTATACCAATCTTATCGAGTCATAGTTATTCACGGAGACAACGTTCCACTTGCTTATAAATAATTAATAAATTTATAGGAACTTTTATGCACTAATTATTCTAAAAAATTTAGCTTTGTAGCCTAAAATACCATACAACGTTCAAAGAAAAAAAGTTCCGTTCTATAGAACATATACATAGGAGGTAGATCTTAAAAAAATATAACATACCTTTTATCATTTGAAAATACGTGTTAAGAGCTTCATTGCATCCCATCACGCAGTACAATTCTCGTGAGAGCGCGGCTTCTGACGTAACATTCTGAAATAAAAACTGCTTTATGATCCTAGTTTCTTCGGATCTCCGGAAAAGAATAAATAACGCTTGAAAGGCAGAAGAGATTATTGCATTTTTTGCTATGTATATCAATAAAACAGAAGAAAACAATTCTCATACAACGGAGGGATCTCCCATTGATTTAAAAAAAGGAATTTAAAAATCATAGATTATTATTGTCGTTAGTTATCATTTGATACTTACACAAGCTGATTGACAAGATACGTCCAAACCTTCTAACCACAGGCTGCACCCCATTCTGCACTGTAAAAAATAAAGTCTTTATTAATTTAGTTTATGAAGCGGAAAACGATATGGGTTAAGCGGTGTGAAATGGATTCAGAACAGGTTCTCAGGTAAAACCTCTGTATATAGTTTGATAAAAAATTCAATATAAATGGAACCAATCGAAATTATATCGATATATTCTAAACCAATGATTTATTTATCCAAGATTAAGTATATTATATAATTTAGGGCTACGCAAAGTCTTGTTCTACTCCATGGTTATGTATTTTCAGTGTCGTAGAAACCACTCGACATCGACTTATTATTACTAGTTGTTGGCACTCTCCTCTTAATAATGAATGTGATTGACATTTCACTCTCAAGTAATAGGATTTAGGGAATGAACAAAGAGAATATAAACCAAATGGGTTTGAATTGTGAGAACACATACTTTTTATGATTTTTCTCCAAATAAGACATGTTTTGCATATCGACGTGAACTATCTCTCTACGGCAACTAAACTCTAAAAAAAAGTTAGCTAAGTATCATTTATAAATGAGGCCGAAAAAATGTTATTCCTTTCTAAATAATCCAAGTTAATTACACGTTTTAAAATTAGTGATGACATGATAAACAAATGACGTGCCCGTGTTTACCATAATATAATTTCCTTCAATTAAATCGACACCGTACGGGCTCTAATAGGATTAAAATTAGATGTACTATTCGGGTATTATAGTTGTTAGCGAACAATCTAGTGTTCTCTGACAGAGCAATTGTATTTCATTATTTTGATATTAGTAGAACTTAACTTGAAACTAAACTTTCAGGATTCGCTTCTCCCTGTACAGGCCTCTTTATAATCCGATGAAGACCCCATAAGTATTCTAAGAAATTTTATGAAAACACTTACGTGACAGTGACAACATTAACAACATAACAAATGCTTCAAAGAACACAGTTGAAACTCAAAATATATTAATCTAGCTTGCAATTAATTTTAAAATGTATCGATTATAATTTTTATAATCTTTCTAACATATGATCAAAACAAGACAAAAGAATTCAGATCAATAAAAATAGGCCAAATGTTTTGTTTACAATTGTTTTGTAAATCGTCGAATGAATTTCGCCTGTTTACGCCACGTGCACATGGGACGTCTAAAAACTAAACTCAAGTGCCGTGTCATTGGCTCTGTTTTTCGTTTCTAACGTATACAGGAATTAACAGGATCGTGAGAAGGTGCTTTTAACGGACTTTTACGGTCGAGAGACGGCCTTTACGGGTGGTGATTTAGTCATGGCAGGTACCTCGACCTATTTAAAGACGACGGGTGTCTTGGTATCGTATAATTTATTTAAACAAAGAACAGTATTTGTGTTTAAAAATGACACTAAATGAACAGTCCTAAGTATTTAAAATTAAGTTAAAATATTCAAAAGCTGGAGAAAAATAAAGCTATAATTATATATTTTTAAATTTATTTACTAAAACTACAATACATAGCTTTTGTTGCAGCTTAAACGACTTAAAATGCATTATCCCATTAAGCACAATTAAGTGAACAAATTTTTCTATCACATAAATTACAAACTCAGTGGGCGTTCTTCACTTTAATTAAGTTATCTATTCGTTAAAATGTCATAATATTAGTGAACAGATAAAGCAATTTACATAAATTAAGTAAATGATCCCTATTTATTTTAATAATATAATTTCATTTACATCATTTATTTCTTTCATTTTAATAATATAATTTAATACTTCTAAATCTAATATTTTAAGAAACTTTAATTTTTTAAATTTAAAGACTAGTATTTTGTATTTGGTTGATAGGAATATTGCCTTTGGTTTATGCAAGTACTACACACTTCAAATAAAACGACAATAAAAACGCGAAATATAGTTCTTGAAACGCTTTTAGCAATCGCGGTCGGCGATGACTCGAAACGTCAAAAGTTTTGTAAATAAAATGTTTATTATAGTTTTCTTAGTATTATTCCATTTATATTTTTTATATGTGAAATGCTACACGGAAGATGAAAATTTTGACATTTATTAAAAAGAGAAATGTTATACAAAACAAAATATTCAATGTTATGGAATACTCTTTATGGTATTTATTTATTTATTTGAAATAAGTTCCTATTACGGGTTATTACACTTATTACTACATATACAACAATACACACACCTACATGTAGTCACTAGCATTATACTAATGCTATAAGGATCAGTGCATTTTGTTTTGGGTGCGTAATTGTCTGGGTCGAGACCTCGGACGCACAATCATTAGCGCGATCTGGGGCACCTGATTCACCAGTTAGCACCACGTACGGATGATCCGACAATTAGTGTGTGAACAATGTTATGTATTTATACTTAACAGTGCTTAATAAGGAACAAATAAATGCTTCATGTACTTTAGGCTTTTGTATAAACTTTAGGGAAACTGTGCATAAATCGCACTTATATTGTATATGTGTTGCTTTATTATGATGGAAACTTTGAAGAGGTTTGTTTATTTTGTTTCTGATTAACATTTAATCAGACGCGAATAATATTACATAAATGTTAGTCGATCGAGTAGATTTATTAAGTATTTCTTTATATCCCGATTTTAAAAGGATACCAGTTATTATGCGACATATATGTCACTATTAATTCTACAGTTAACATGGCCCTTCCGCCATAGACGGTTCACTTGTCACAACACCACGCCTAGCGAACCCTTGGTAAGAACGGATGGACTCATTTCACAATAAAAATGTATTAAAACTCCTGCCAGGTTGAATGTAAAGTTATATCATAATTGAGTATCTGAAAATTCTCATTATATGTTTTCAGCAGAAATGCATGAGATATATTCTCAGGTTGTATAAAAGGGAGCTACTTTAGTGTATATTTAATTACCTAATAAGTCAACTTGACATACTTGGTAAGTACCTACCGCATCGGATTAATGTTAGAGCTTATAACATACTAGCAGGATTGCTTTTCGTATCTTGTTTGACGTTTGGCAGCTTTGTGTTAATTTGTAAAGTTAAGTATCACTCTCCCTACATTTTTGGATTGGCTCGGATGGAATTTATGAAATTAAAATATTCAGTGGTCATAAACTAGGTAAGTGCATTATCGTCTAATTAAGCAGCATCCTGTCTCGTGCCCTAATAATAACAAAACAATAGTTGCTCCCTTTAGACTCATTAAAATTGTCGTTGTAGTTAATTGTTGGAATGATTTCGGAAACCGGCTCGGAAGTCCAATTGGGAGCGCGCCGGATGCAAGGCACTGTGAAAGCACTCCATGCTTTCGAATGCTTCATCATCAAGTAATTGAGCTTTCAATTATGATTATACTCTTATCATGTGATACTTCGAGGCGATCAAAGGGGACTTAGTTTAAAAAAAGTTTAATCGTTGTAAAGTTTGCTGGCATATTCAACAAACTGTTTTTTAAAATTATATATTTCCCGTTTTTCCTCCTCTATTTTACACTACACCGTGGGTATTAATTACTACTTTGTTGGTAACTATGACCATTCATTTTCATTATGTAAAGTTGGCATGGGTGATAACTACAAACTGCTGATTTGCTATCACAGCTCATAAATGACTTTAGGCGCCAGAGGATAAGTGACGATCTGTTTTTCTAACTCAATTCGTTATTGACCTGTGATAAACTTTGTGTATCTCAGAGTAACCCATATAGTTATATTTTATTACACGCGGCAATCACCCGTTCGTTCTGTGGGAAACGCGTGTAACCAGTCGTAAATGTTACCAATACTAAGAACTATAAGTACTCCGTAAAAGTAATGATGTAATAATTGCTTAAAAACGTTTCATTAATGTGTAGATCCATATGTTTAGTACAACGCTTAAAATGTACTGAGACTTGATCCGTCAGAAGGCTAGTTAATATATATTATATTATACATACATAGGTAGGCTCATTAAAAGCAACATTCCCAACTAACGTTTGACCCCATCACAATAACAAACCGCGTAAGGTCACAATTTGCTAAGCAAACATTTTATTTTCTTGAGCTATTTTTGTGCAATAAACTTAATTCTTCCTTAGGGATTTCCGGTCAGAATAAAAAAAAATTAAAGTGTTTCTGAATTTCTAAAAAGACTTGATTACACTGCAATTTGTTATGCCATTTGAGGTAGACTTATATTTTATTCTTACACACACGTTTAATTCACACACCTTCCACATATTGACACACCCAAAACCACTCATTCTTTAGTTTTATTTTGTTTGTTCTTTTAGATTAGTCATAGTAAATCGTCATCTCTTTGTATATTTTCTAACCGCGACGGAGGGCTGGTTACTACTGGACTTTTATAGACACCAGGCTCTCACAAAGATGGTCAATACTTCCAGCATGTAAACCTTTAAAATGCAGTATTGTGAAGTTGCAATAAACAGTATTATTATTATTATACTAGCTGTCCCCGCGAGCTTCGTTTCTCCTTAATGTGAGTTTACTTAGCATACCTTTTTAGTACATACCAACATGGATAATTTTGCTATGCTACGCCAGAGACTGTTGGGTTTTCTGGAATGAAAACTTTTTTTTTAAAGGTTTTTCTGTGAATTTTTCTCTATATAAACCTCAGAGTTCAAGTCAGAAGTTTTAAATTAACAAATAAAAAATAGGGGTTGATCGTAGAGGGGTGAAAATTGTATATAATTTTATATGTTGGATTATAAAAATAAATTGTATCCAAAAAATATTATTTTTTTTTGGAGTGGACACCCCTTATCACTTAGGTGTTTGAAAGGTAGATAGTAGGCGATTCTCAGACTTACTGAATATGCATAAAAAATTTCAAAATAATTGGTAGAGCCGTTTCGGAGGAGTATGGGAACGAACGAACGTGTCACAATGACACGAGAATTTTATATATTAGATAAGCGTTTTTTGCGATAAAATAACAGTTCTGTAAGTATTAGAAATATTAAATTTTCTATCTCTATGAATATAATATATTGAAAGGATGTTCGTGCTGTCAAGTT